GCTCACAAACAACGATAGCTGTAGTTCAGGAGATCGGATACTGTCTTCTGGTTACCACAGGTACCAGGGACACAGGTGGTGCACATCTTGTTAGGATGGCCACAGGATCTGAGTGTTATCGAGTCTGGTGGAGTTAGTGCGTTTAAACATTAATGCATCAACTGTGAAGATGCCGGTTCTGTTTGTTTCTGTGCCGAGAATTTTAAATGTTGCAGTAGGGGCAGGGGATGTTGCTCAGTGGTTAAGAGGGTTACTTGCCCTTGCAGAGAACCTTATTGGGTGGTTCACAGCTGCCAGTAACTCCATCTTCAGGGGCTCAGGTGCCTGCTTCCAGACCCCTCAGGCACAAAGAAACAGAAACAGTATGCACACACACTCTCTCTCTCTCTCTCTCTCTCTGTCTCTCTCTCTCTGTCTCTCTGTCTCTCTCTCTCTGTCTCTCTGTCTCTCTCTCTCTGTCTCTCTCTCTCTGTCTCTCTCTCTCTCTGTCTCTCTCTGTCTCTCTCTCTGTGTCTCTCTCTCTCTCTCTCTGTCTCTCTCTCTGTCTCTCTCTCTGTCTCTCTCTCTGTCTCTCTCTCTGTCTCTCTCTCTCTCTCTGTCTCTCTCTCTCTCTCTGTCTCTCTCTCTCTCTCTCTCTGTCTCTCTCTCTCTCTCTCTCTCTCTCTCTCTCTCTCTCTCTCTCTCTCTCTCTCTCTCTCTCTCTCAGAATGCGCCTGGTGGTGATGGTGCCAGCCTGGTCTACAAAGAGAGTTCCAAGCTATTACACAGATAAACCCTGTCTTGGGGGAAAAAAAGAGAAAAGAAATAGAATCTTTAAAATGTGTTGAAATAGAAAGGTCAAGGTACTGTTACTAAGATGTTGAGAACTCCTTGGCATTATTTGTTAGACTGCTGCCCTGTAGGTAGGTTCTTACTGTTCTTTGAGAATGTGGAGACATTGACCCCTGAGACAAGGTCACCACCCTGCAGTAGCTCCGAGCTCCATCCCTTGCCCTTTAGGCTCTTGGCATTAGTCACTTTTCACTGACACACGACTTGAAGCTCGCTTTGTAGTCTCTTCACAGACAACCTGTCCATTTCCTTCTTTTTCTGTAGGTGTTCTGTTCCACTACACCCGTGGAGAACCACGTTACCGAGATAAGAGACTTGCTTACTGGTTGAGTGTCCTTGCTTTCCGACCCTTGCCTAGCTCGACCTGTTACTGCAGCTACCCCAATGTGCCTCTAGGGGCTATGAGAATGGAGATGCCAGTAACTCCATTCCGCTTAGCTTGGTCTCTCAGTCCAGTAAGACTTTGTGACAATGAAAACACTCTGTATCTAGGTGCAGGTGGCTTTTCTGCATTTGAGATGTGGCTGGTGGTCCCAAGAAACTGAACTTTTTTTTTTTTTTTTTTTTTTTTTTTTTGGTTTTTACGAGACAGGGTTTCTCTGTATTGTTTTGGAGGCTGTCGGACCAGCCCAGCCTCGAACTCACAGAGATCCTCCTGCCTCTGCCTCCCGAGTGCTGGGATTAAAGGCGTGCACCATCTCCGCTCGGCAGGAACTGAACTTTAAATTATCTTAGTTTGAATATAACTGTATGTGGCTGCTGACTCCCACACTGGAGGTCACCTCCCTGGGTTTCTCTACTGCACACTCTGTGCCTTGGTGGTCTTCCCCTGGGGAGCCAGACCCTCATGTGACCCCTCCAGCAGGCAGTGGAGATCTGAAGTGCTGTCCCTGTGTAGTCTCACTTGAGTTAATTTTTCCCTTCTTAGTGTTACTGGGATGGAACCCAGGGGCTCAGACTGAAAGGGTCAGTGAAAGTCAGCCAGCCCCTTTGTTTATAGAAGACACACTTGGTTACAGGCCCTGGCTCTGCAGTTTCTGGAAAAGGTGGGGAGGGACACAGTCTTCAGGTGAGGGGCTCTGTAAATGGCCCCGTCAGGAAGACTGCTCAGGAAATTGCCTCTTGGCAGCAAAGATGAGACCAGTGAGAAGTGTCCCGTCCTCCAGCTCAGCTGGACTCCGGCCCCCACCGTCAGCTCAGCAGGACTTTCCCTCCTGAGGAGTTCCAGGAATGAGAGTAGCAGCAGCAGATGGTGGCCCCTGTGTGCTGTGGGTGGGGGTGGCATTTGTCTCCCATTAGACACAATAAATACAACCTTTATTTGAGAATTTCATACTTGCTTGCCCTCGAATATAGTACATTTTCATCATGTCTCCCTTTTTGTGTTGACACGGAATGAGGTCCTGGCAGGCCTGGGTCTCACTCAGGGATCTGCCTGCCTTTGCCTCCCGAGTGGTTTCTTAAAGCACACCCCGGTGACTTTCGGGTTGAGCCTTGAAGCCAGCAGTAGACAGCATCATTCTAGTTTTTTGTTCTGATTCCAGTTGGGGCCACATGGCTTTGACACAGTCCTGCATGTGTAAAATGAGAACATCCTTTATTTGTTTCTTTCTTTTTTCCTTTCTGGGAAGTTTAAAAAGTGAGTTTAAGAAATAATACGAGCTGTCAAGAAATAATGGCAGGATATTTTAAGTGGCTATCTGATGCTGGAAAACGATTATTTGCTTATCACCTCTCTCTATATTCCAGGGTTATCCAAGAGAAAAGAATGCAGCACAGGCTTCCCCGTGTGCTGTTGGCTGGCTTGTGACTCCATCACCTGATGGAGTCTCCAGTCACCATGGGGCCTTAGAGTTGTTTGTGTTTGTGAATGTGAGTGGGGCTGGCGACGCTGAGGTTTTCAGTACAAGGCCTTTCTCCTCAGTGGGTATAAGTGAGTACTTGGTGGTACCCGACTCTGGGGTAACAGCCGGTTCCTGAGGGCAAGGCAGGCACAGTCAGTCTTCCTGGAGTGAGGGAGGAGTCTCCTGCACTCCTCAGAGCAGGGCTTGAGTGCTCCAGTGCCGAGGACATTCTCAGCAGTACGCAGTGCAGTCACGTACAGAGGGAGGATTTCAGAATAATTTAATATTTCAGTCATCCTTAAGTTCACCTTACGATAAAAATTGTTGCTTAAAATGGAATCTATTTAAGTCCAAAGGGATAATGTTAACAGGCGTATGATTTGCATACTATTTGTAGAAAATCAATTGTAGAGTATTTGGTTTAAATTTTACCTCAAATTGTCTTGTGTCTCCCCTACCACATGCTAATGGAGCATCTGTGGTGTCTTTGTTTTTGCTTCTAAATTAACTTTGGCATAATAGTATCATAAAAATTTCAGCCTTGGCTGTTCTCCAAGTGTCGTTCCCTGGCATTAACTATTCACATTGTGTGGGACCCAAGTTTCATAATGGCACCCGAGTTTCATTCCTTTCAGTCAGTGTCTCCTCTGCTCCCACTTCCTACCATTCTACCTTTTCTCATGATTTGACTCTTCTAGATCCTCTGTGGGACTAGAATTGTAGCGTTTGCCCTTTTTTTTTTTTGCATTTGTCGTTTTGTATGTGATTTATTTCACTTTCAGTACTCTCAGGGTTCATCTTTGTTACAGTATGAATCGTGTCTGAGTTACTTTCCCACTGCTGTGATAAGCACTGAGGCAACTTATAAAAGGAAGCATTTAATTGGGGTTCACAGTTTCAGAGGGTTAGAGTCCATGGCTTTCCCGGCAGGGAACATGGCAGGCCAGCGGGATCGCACGGTGCTGGAGTGGTAGCCGAGTGTTCGCATCTGATCCATAAGCATAAGGGAGGGATAGCGGGAGCTGAGATGATAGGGAGTAGCTCGGGCTTTTGAAATCTCAAAGCCTACCCTCAGTGACACCTCCAACAAGGCTGCACCTCCTCCAACAAGGCTGCACCTCCAAATCCTTTTCAGACAGTTCCAGCAATTAGGGACCATGCATTCAAATATATGAGCATATGGGGGCATTCTCATTCAAATCACAAGTCAGAATCTCCTTCCTTTGTTTGTTTTTGAGGCAGGCCTTGAATCTACTATGTGTCCAGGGATGATTTCGACCTCCTGATCGCCTTTGTCTCTTAGTGGTGGGACCACAGCTGTGCACAAGTCCTGGGGATGGAACCCAGGCCCTCATGCATGCCAGGCAAGCATTTCAGCAACCGAGCACATCCCCAGCCAGTGTAGACTGAGTAATATATGTGCATAGCTCACATTTCATGTACTCACATACTGGTAGCTTTGGAGTGTTGCCGAGATGGTTTCTCTGTGTGCCTTGGCTGTCCTACGACCTGCTATGTAGACCAGGCTGGCCTTCAACTCCCAGAGATCTGCTTGCCTCTGCCCCCTGAGTGCTAACGTTAAAGGTGTCACCACTACTGCCCAGCAATTTCAAGAGTTCTTATCCTTCCTACGTCTTTCCCTGTGCTTACTATTTTATGTTTCTTTGTTGTTTGAAAATTGACTGAGCCTTCTTGCTGATACCACAGTACCAAAACTCTGAAGTGAGTGATGTACCGTGTTACAGGGGAGTTCTGGGTGCTCCCCTGTGCCCTGCAGCCTGTTCCCCTCCTAGAGAGAAGCAGCTTCACCCAGCCTCAGTACCGCCACCTGCTCCTCCAGTCGGTGCACATAGGAGAAGTTGGTTGCTGTCCTGTGAATTGGATCATGAAGAGGCCACTCTCCTTGAAGAGCATAGCGTGTCAGCGGGTCTGGTTTAGTTGGGGTGTGATGTTAAGCTAATTTTATGGAAATGACACGCTATGGAAAGTTAAGCATGTATCTTAATTTTTTTCATATTTTATTTATTTATTATGTATACAATCTTCTGCATGCCAGGAGAGGGCACCAGATCTCATTCAAGGTGGTTGTGAGCCACGATGTAGCTGCTGGGAATTGAACTCAGGACCTCTGGAAGAACAGTCGGTGCTCTTAACTGCTGAGCCATCTCTCCAGCCCCCTGCTTGTATCTTAATTTAAAGGAAAAGAGTTGGGACAAATATGAAGCTATAAGTGATGTGGGCTGTGATGTGTCTCTGGGGATGTATGGATAATTGGTCATGGTGGGTTTCCCACATTCAAATATTTCTTGTGTTTTTCTTGTGCAGGAATCATGGCCCAAGTAGCAATGTCCACACTGCCTGCGGAAGATGAGGAGTCCTCAGAGAGCAGAATGGTGGTGACATTCCTCATGTCTGCCCTGGAGTCCATGGTGAGACACTGGGAGTCTTGTTCATAGCTGGATAGGATTGGGCTTCTAGAAAAAAAAATGCTTGTGTTTCTGTGAAACAAACAAACAAATAAATAAATTACTGTTGCAATGCTGGAGATTAAACTTAGAGCCTTGTGTGCTAGGCCAGCATTCTATGCTGAGCTGTACACGTAGGCCTCTTTAGTTTTTTTGAGGGCAGCTGACCTTACACTTTTTCATCATTTTGTTTCAGTTTCTCCAAAATGCTAGGATTCTAGTGGGCAAGCACTCTACCAACTCCCACTCCAGGTTTTGGACTTCCAAGTCATAATTCATTACTATGTTTTAGAACTTTATTGTACTGGGACTCAAGCTAGGCATGGCTTCCAGCATTGTGCCCTACACATTCCTGGCCCTGAAGTTCTGAAAAATACTTACTCTCACTGCAGTGGCCTTAGGAGAGTCAATCTGAATCTGAGTGAAACCGCAGCATTTTTGGAAACTGAGGCAGGAGGATCTTGTGTTCTAGCACAAATTGGGCAATGTAATGACCCCTGTTTCAGTATAGCAAGAAAAACTCCAAAGGAGCAGAAAAACTTAGGAGTGGCATTTCATAGTGGCTGCCATGAATCGGTTTCAGAGCTCCTCTCAGGATGGTGGTGCTAATTCCCCAGCTACTATTCACCTGGCATCACTGCCTCACCGTGTCTAGAGGCTCAGTTCTCAGGGTGTAGCGGCAGCTGACCTTTGAACCCTGCCCTCCCTCAGCCCTTGAAAGTGCAAGTCTGCACAGCTGAGCTTGTTTTTGAGGAATCGAACCTTAGACCTTCAAGTGTTCGCTGCTTTTATTCATCTTTTTGTTTCGTTTTGATTTTGAGGCAGGGTTTCTCTGTATGACAGCTCTCACTGTTTTGTATACCAGGATCATCTCTAACAATATTGAGGTGGTTTTAAGTGTTAGATTTTTAGATTAATCTAGAAAGAAATGGTGCTTTTAAACAGCTACATGTAATATAACTTGGCCTGTTTCCGTTTCAGTGTAAAGAGCTGGCCAAGTCCAAGGCTGAGGTGGCCTGCATCGCTGTGTATGAGACGGACGTGTTTGTTGTTGGAACTGAAAGAGGACGTGCTTTTGTCAATACCAGAAAAGATTTCCAAAAAGATTTTGTAAAATATTGTAAGTGGAGTGTTTTTATCTTGTGGACTTTATTCATTTGAAGTGGAGTTTGTAAATTTTAAATACAATTATTTGTAGATAAGCCCTCTCAAACCTTTAAGAGTAAGTTATGCCAGAAAAAGAAGACCCTTCTGACGTGTTTCTAGGTGTGGGTCAAGACAAGGCACGGAGGTGGCCGCATAGAAGGAAGTGAGGAAGGTGCTGGTGGCTGTCCGCGGGGCTGCCGAGTGCATTTGCTGCAGGAGTGGACAAAGCTGATCATCTCTGCAAGACAAAAGACCAAGCTGCAGAGATCGGGTTAGGGAAAGCCTAAGGCGCCAGGCCTGTAAAGGGACAGACACTGGCTTAGGTTTTTTTTTTTAGATTTATTTGTTTATTATGTATACAGTATTCTGTCCGCATGTATTCCTGCAGGCCAGAAGAGGGCACCAGATATCATTACGGTTGTGAGCCATCATGTGGTTGCTGGGAATTGAACTCAGGACCTCTGGAAGACCAGCCTAATATTCTTTTTTTCCAGACAGGGTTTGTCTGTGGCTGTCCTGAAACTCACTTTGTAGACCAGGCTGGTCTCAAACTCACAGAGAACCACCTGCCTCTGCCTCCCTAGTGCTGGGATTAAAGGCATGCACCACCAACGCCCAGCCAGCCTAGTGTTCTTAACCTCTGAGCCATCTCTCCAGTTTAGGGTTTTTAAATTTTATTATATTATTATTATTATTTGATTTTGGCTTTTCTTTTTCTTTTTTTTTTTTTTTTTTGGTTTTTCAAGACAGGGTTTCTTTGTGGCTTTGGAGGCTGTCCTGGAACTTGCTCTTATAGACCAGACTGGCCTTGAACTCACAGAGATCTGCCTGTTTCTGCCTCCTGAGTGCTGGAATTAAAGATGTACGCCACCACTGCCCGACTCTGGCTTAGGTTTTTAATAGGGCTCCTTGGTCTCCCTTTACCCCTCCTGTTTCTGTTTAGACAACAACCTCTAAGCCTTCCCCGTTGTTTCTCTTCGAATCATCTTCTAGGTAGAAGAATCTGGCATCTCAGGGCTTGCCTACCTTCGTTACCCCTTCCTGCTCTTGCAGGACACGGTTATGACCTCCAGCTGCTTCATGGTAGAGTCTGTGGGGTTTAGGTCCAAGAGAAAGATCTTACATGGTGGCTCTTGGGGCAGGTTCAGGTGTGGCAGCATTGTGGTGGGCAGTGGGTCTCAGTCTCCGTCTTCAGGACCAACGGTAGCAGTGGAGGGAGTGAGAAGAATGCTAGAGATTAGTGCATGTAGTCTGATGAGGGCACTTTTCCCACCAAGTCCTGTGTCCTCCTAGCAATCAGGCAGGCTGGTCTCGAGTTGAGTCCAGGATCTATTTTCAGGCACTTTGATAGCTGTTGGGGTGACTATTGTGAAGCCCCTTCCATGTGGCTTGTAGAGAAGAACTTTAGCCATCATTTGAAAACAATAGTGGGTCTGTCTCTTTGGGCTGCAGGTAGACTCTGCAGTGTTGAACTAAGCTAAAGTCATGATGTCCTATTATCAAGGTAGCATTTTTCTTATCAAGAAGAAAATCATTAGAGAGAAATAGTTGCTTAAATAGTATCTCATATGAATTTAAGCCTAATGTCCAGGGAATGTGATTCCTTGAACTATTAAAGAAACACGCCCAAGGGTGGAGGGCTATAGAGATGCCCTGTCTTGAAAAACGAGACAAGACAAAACAAACCGTGCCAGTCATCCTACTCCTTGGCTGTGCTTTTCCTGCTGGTGTGATAGAGACCACACAGGTAGCCAGTGTTATCACATTTATACTTTTTACTGTCAAGGTCATTTGAGGATCCTGGTCCACAGGATCAAATTGGGCTTGAGAGAGCCTCTGTCTCCTTTTAACAGTTCTTCCATCTATGTGAGGAAAGTCAAAGGCCTCGCTTGACCGTGGCTCAACTGGAATTCATGGAGGGAAATTTTCTTCTGTTTTGACCCTCCTCTTTGTAGACTGGACACCAGGTAGAGCTCACCAGGTAGGGTCTCCATGACCTCTCTGAATAAGACAACAGATGACTCTCCACAATTTTTTGTTTGCTTTTTCACCCAGGGTTTCTCTGTAAACCTCTAGCTGTTCTGGAACTCATTCTGTAAATCAGGCTGGCTTCAAAAGAGACCCGCCTGCCTCTGCCTACCGAGTGCTGGGATTAAAGGTGTGCACCACTGCCTGGCTGTGACTACCCACAGTTATAGAACATTTTGAGAGATGCCCTAGTCCACAGACCTATTTAGCTTTGGAAGGCAAGGGAAAAAATAGTCTCCCTTTTGATCCCTCTGACCATGTTAATATAGCCTCTAAATATGGCTGTTGAACACCCAGAAGGAATTCCACCAGTCTGGTTGTTTAACTTCAGTGAAGTATTTAGATAAAGCTTGAACAAAAATGAAACAAATAACCTTTGGTTCTATAAGCCAGTCCTTGTAATTGTTACTGAAGAGTAGACCGATACTCTGCTGATTTAAGCAGAGGTTTCACATCAGTGTTTTGAACTTTGACCTTTTGTATATCTTCTATAACTTGTTAAGACTCTTGTAATTTGCTAGGTTTCCCAGCTTTCTTTTCTGGAAAAGCATCTGCCATCTCGTTGGACAAATAGCATTAACAATGAGCACTGGGCAGTCCTGGCTGTGATGGTTTTTTTACAGGTCGCTACAGCTGACAGTTGTTTGGCTTGGAAGGCAGTGCTCTGGGGCACCACCTTAATAAAGGCACATTGAACCAGACTGCAGAAATGATAAATCAGTAGTACCTGTGTGCGTGCTTGCTGTTAGGCTATGTTCCCAGGCAAACTTAACAGAAAACACGGGCAATCTTTATAAAGTACATAGAGTGATCCACCAAAACCCTGCTTTAGGTTCTGAATGGGTGGGAGTGACAGGTTTGTTCCTCTGTAAACCTGAACCTAGCTAGTGGTTTACACTGTGAGTCCGGTGACAGCTGGCTGGACCCAAAGCACCTGTCTGACCTTTTTACAGCCAGCGTAGATTTTCCCAGATGATTCTTTTTTTTCCTAAGATTCGTTTATTATATATACTATGTTCTGCTTACATGTATGCCTGCAGGCCAGAAGAGGGCCAGATCTCATCATTACAGATGTGGTGGCTGGGAATTGAACTCAGGACCTTTGGAAGAGCAGCCACTGCTCTTAACCTCTGAGCCACCTCTCCAGGCCCCCCCCCCCCCCCCGATGATTCTTGATAGCTGTTGGGTCTTGCATTGGGAATGGGGTTGATAAGCTTTCAGTCTAATTTTATAAGGTCATGAGTAAGTGGCACTGTCTCAGTTACTGCGTTTTTTTGTTTTTGGATTATTTGTTTTGTTTGTTTTTGCTGTGATGAAATACCATTACCAAGACAACTTATACTAAGAAGCATTTAACTGGGGGATTGCTTAGTGTTTCAGAGGGTTAGTTCATGGTCTACATGGCAGGGAGTGTTGCAGCATGCACTGGAGTAGTAGCTGAGAGCTCACATCTGATCTGCAAGCTGCAGGCAGAGAGACAGACAGACTGACTGAGACAGACTGAGACTGGTCCTGGGCCTGACATGAACCTAGCGTGGGCTTTTGCAACTGGAAAGCCCACCCCTAGTGACACACCTCCTCCGATATGGCCACACTTCCTAATTCTTCCCAGACAGTTCCACCAGTTGGGGAGTAAACATTCAATCATATGACCTTATGGGGCCATTCTCATTCAAACGACCACAGGTAGCAAACAACCATGATCAAAAGGAGGTTCAAACTAATATAAATACATGCCTTTACCAATGTCTAATCTGAGACCTGACCAGACTTGGGGTGACCAACTGCTTGGAAGCCTGTCACACCCTGTCTTATCTTTAGGCTGTGGTAATGGATATGGCGTGTCCGAACTGCAAGGGAGCCATCCATGGAGTATTGGGTCCTTACCTCTGAGGGTCCAGTTCTGCCCAGTGTGTGAGAATGCGGCTGAGGGGCAACCTTTGAAGAATCTTGGAACTAGTTTGCCCTATTTGCAGAGAGATAGAGAAGAAAGAATCTAAGTCTTGAGTAGGGGTTGCTCATTCCCTACCTGTATCCTCTTGTCCATTTGGATGGACATGACCAGCCTGTCCCAGGGAGAGGCCAGACTCAGTAGGATTACCATACCTACCCACACAGGTCTCTGCCATCTCCTAGTTTTCCTCCTTTAGTCTTTCTTAGGGATCATATTGTGGTCTTGTCTCTTGGCCATGAGGACTCAGATCCAGGTCTCCTTTAACTCTGTTTTCCAAGATACTCATGATACCACCAGTGCTCAAAACACTTGATTATGGCACACAAGCTCTGACAGGCATTAGAATGCCCATTTCCCAAGTTCGCTAAGCACATGCTCTGATAAGACATTGCTATTGATCAGTGGTTCACCCAGTTTTGTAGAACTGGAGACAGCCAGATGTAGAAAGGGAGGCAGGTGGACTCCAGCCAGTTGGCCCATTGTACACATGACTCAGGGTATACTTGAGAAGCTCAGAATTTGGGCTCCATCACTCTACTTCAGAAATTCCCCAAGTTCTCTGCAGAAATCCCCAAGAGAGAAGAACCAGGGCCCAATTGCAGTCAGATCACAGCAAAACCAAAGTCAGTGGTGTCCAATGTCTGGGATTCACTCATTGTCTTCTGGGCTCCAAAGGTCTTGGGCAGCTCTGTTTCTCCGGCTCTGCCATCCACAGCACATGTAGCTTAGCTTCAGCCAGCTTCCCTCCCATCCTTACCGGTGCCATCCTTGGTGATCACACCTCAGTATTGGTGTTTCCTGCAGCTGTTACGTCATCAAAGACAGCGTCTTGTTGGAAACTCACACATACCGAGTTCAGCTTTAACCCCATCTAACCCTGAGGAAACACTTCCCAAAAGGTTTCACCCCAGTGATGCTGGCTTCTTCTTAACCAGTGTTAATTTCTCAGTTCCTGCTAGCCAGCATCGATTGTCCCAGTAAAGCAAAGGTTTCACTCGGTGGTGAATCCCAGCTGATTTCTTCAACTCCAGCTGACCAGAACCACAGATTCTTTTGTTGTTTCCCTGAGACAGGGCTTCCCTGTGTGTAGTCCTGGCTGTCCTGGAACTCACTCTGTAGACCAGGCTGGCCTCAAATCTCATAGATCCATCTGCCTCTGCCTCCTGAGTGCTGGGATTAAAGGTATGTGTCACCATGCCTATCGAACCACAGATTCTTAATTCAAAAAACACCACATAAATTCCCTGGTAGAGATTCCAAGGGACCTTCCAATTTCCATCTGAAACTTCACATGCTGGAACTAGCAGCCCATTTTCAGCCACTGCTAACAGGCAGGGTTTGGTCCTCCATCACAGGTTTTTCTCTGGGTCCCAACACATTCTTATCTGATATCCAGATGGGCAGGCTGAAGGCCTTTTGAGGTGACATCTGGTAGTTTCAGAGCCGTGACATGGCTTGGGTCTAGTGTCATCCAACTGGAACAAGTTACACACAGCTCATGCGTCCTTTTAGACTTGGCCATCAAGCTTTCAGGCACGCACTGAACCTGCATTTGGGCCACTGGTACTCTGCCCATTTTCAGCAGAAATGACTCTTAAGATCCATACCTCACTGCATAGCCATGAAGCCAAGGGTTCATGGTTGCAACAAGTAGAGCCTGTAACATAGGAAGTAGTTACAGAGGCTGAATTCTCACGGGGAGAGGTCTGAAGCTGTCTCTGGTGTGAGGGAGGGTTACTGCCCTCTTCTGTCTGGGTATCTCTTGGCTGTTGTGACCAGGCCAAGGGCAGGCCCAGTGGTTGGTTTCAGAGTTGAAAGGGCAGTGTTGGAAACTAAAACGAGATAGTGCACATCCCCTAGGAGGATCACTCCAGGTGCTTAGAACAGTGGCCTGACTTGAAGTCACCAGACTAACTAACCCCCTTACTCTTCTCCTGAGAACAGAAAAGTGACAGCCCTTTACATTCGCAGCTGGAGAAACCGAAGGCTACGAGTCTAGGCTGGGCATTTTATAGGATCCCAGGTCCTCCCTTTCCCCGCCTCCCCAGTGTGCTGGGATTGCAGGAGCACTGGAGATTGAGCCCGGAGCTTCATGCATGATTGGCAAGGGCCAAATTAGCTATATTCCCAGCCCTCTTTTCTTGGGATACAGTCTCGAATAACATTCCTGGCTAAAGATTTATTTATTTTCGTTTTATGTGCATGTGTGTTCTTGTTTACATACCACATGCATGCACCACCCACAAAGGCCAGAAGAGAGCATTGCGGTTTCAGAGGGTTTTCAGCTATCATGTGGGTGCTGGGAATTCAGCCTGTATCCTCAGTTTTCTTGCCTCAACCTTCCCAAGTGCTGGGATTACAGGTACAAGCCACCCCACCCAGCTAAGTTTTTACTTTATTTTTGTTACCATCATTTATCTCTCTAAATTTTTGTTTTTAAATTTTCTTGTCACTTGAATTTTTATAACAAATTACGTTAGAATATACTGCCTGGGGCATGGTGGGTCATGCCTGTAAAGTCAGCACTTAGAAGACTGAGACAGAGGGACCACTGAGACTTCAAGACCCTTGGTGGCTCCGTAGGCTACACTGAGGCAAAGCTAGGTGGTTAGTGGTACCTTATCTTCAAAAGGAAAGGGAGGCAGGAGGGAGGCAGGCTGGGAGAAAAAGGCATACTGGAAACACTCTTACTAAAGGCCAAGTAATGAGGTGACTGTGCTGGCTAGTTTGTGTCGGCTTGACACTGACCAGTTCCCGGGGAAGATTGTGCCCTGTGGTCATGTCTGTAGGAGCATTTCCTTCATTGATGATTAATGTGGAAGGCTTCAGCCCACTGTCGGTGATGCCTCCCCTGAGCAAGGGGCTCTGGGTTGTATATGAAAGCAGGCAGAGAGGCAGGTGGATCTCTGTGAGCTCCGAGCCCAGTGTGGTCTACAAAGCAAGTTCCAGGACGGAGTCCAAAGTTGCAGAGAGAGAGCCCTGTCTGGACAGCCACCTCCTCAGCCCCCCCAAAACAGGCAGGCAGAGAAGCTAGTGAGCATTGACCCTCCATGGCCACTGCTATGATGACCCTTGGTGACGAGCTGTGAGCTGTAAGCCCATAAGTTCTTTCTTCCCAGCGGTGTTCATTGCAGCAACATGAAAGCAGGCTGGGATAAGTGGATATGAGCCTTTGCACCCCTGATTATTTTACAGGCGTTGAAGAAGAAGAAAAGGCCGCAGAGATGCATAAGATGAAATCTGCAACCCCAGCGAATCGGATGAGCGTGGATGCTGTAGAAATTGAAACACTCAGAAAAACGGTGGAGGATTACTTCTGTTTTTGCTATGGTAAAAGCACAACACCTGAAGTTGAGAAAAGTGCATTACACAATGTTATTTTCTTCTAAAAAATTGTGCTTGCGTGTACACACATGTGCATTGGTGGAGGTGGTTCACCTTCTCCTTTATGTGGATTGGGGGATTGAACTCAGGTTCGTACACAGTTACTGTCTCTTCCACTGGGCAGCTTTCCTAGCCAGTAAAACACATTAAAAAAAATATTTTAGTTATTTATTTATTGTGTATACAGTCTTCTGCCTGCATGCCAGCAGAGGGCACCAGATCTCACTCAAGGTGGTTGTGAGCCACCATGTGGTTGCCGGGAATTGAACTCAGGGCCTCTGGAAGAACAGTCGGTGCTCTTAACTGCTGAGCCATCTCTGCAGCCCAGTAAAACACATTTTTAAGTGGTGGATTTTGTAATTGATTTGACACTCATATAACACATTTTTACATATTGAGTAGATTAATTTGTGAATTTAAGAATTCAGAAAACTGTGTAACTTATTTATTTTTATCGTTATTGGGCTGGCATGGTGGCATGTGAATTTCAGGCCAGTCTAGATGGTCTACATGGTGAGAGCCTATCTCAGAAGACAGAAAGAAAAGAAATCAGCTACAAATTTTATTGTTCTTATTGCTCATTTGTGGGAGGGGTGTGCATGCATGTCCTGGTGTGCATGAGGAGATCAGAGGACAACTTTGAGGAGTCAGGCCTCCCACATTATGTGAGTTCCGTGTTCAAACTCCGGCAACAAGGCTTGTGTGGCCCGGTCCTTCACCCTTTGAGCCATTCCACTGGCCTGAGGCTTCCTTGGTTTTGACATGAATGCTGGCCCTCACTCTCTCTGCACCACCACTCTGCATTGGTCCCGTCATTTGGTACAACAGATTGTACTGTCATCATCATAGCTTATTTTGGTCTAGGGTTGAACCCAGAACCTCACTAAGAAATCATTTGACAACTGAGGTGCACTCCATCTTTACCCCAGTTTTTTATTTTTATTATAAGACAGTGTCTCAGTGATTCTGACGCTGGCTTTGATCTCTCTTCAGCCCAGGCAGTCTTTGAACTTTCTTTCATCCTCCTGCCTCAACCTTGCACTTCGTTGGGCTTGTGGACACCACACTGGCTATCGTGAGGCAGGCTGTGTGGACTTTGTGTCCTGGCCCTTTGGATATTAGTGCTTCAGAGTGCTACCTGAAACACTCTTTTAAGTTACTGTAAAGTCAGATACTGTGGGAAAAGTCAGAATGCTGCTTACTGGTTTTTGGAAAGCTCGTTTTATTTTGTTGTGTTGTTGTTTTTATTTATTTGGTTTTCTATTTCTACCAGGGAGTTCTAGGATTTTTGAGCTCGGGTCCTTGGGCCTGGCAGCAAACCACTCTCACCTGCTGAGCTGTCTTGTCAACCCACCTTTATGTTGAACTTTTTCTAGTGGTCTGACTTGTTTCACCTCATGTGTGTCTGTGGAGGCCAGAAGGGCCTGTTGGGTCCCTTGTAACTGGTCTAGCAGATGGTGATGGGCAGTATGTTGTAAATATTAGATTAAGATGTGTTACAGTTAGCCGGGTGTTGGTGGCGCTCGCCTTTAATCCCAGCACTCTGGAGGCAGAGGCAGGCGGATCTCTGAGTTTGAGACCAGCCTGGTCTACAAAGCTACACAGAGAAACCCTGTCTCAAAAAAAAATGTGTTACATTCATTTATGCTGTGGAATATTGTTTAATGATGCAATGATGTGTTCTTTCATGTTGTATTTGTTTAGTTCTGTAAAGCTAGGCAGAAGAGGCATAGGTGGGGCTACCAGGCCGAGAGAATAAATAGGAGAAATCTAGACTGAAGAGAGAGGAGTAAGGATTAAGAAAAGGAAAGGAAGGAGAGGAGTATGCCAGGGGCCAGCCACCCAGCCACACAGCCACCCAACCACACAGCCACACAGCCACACAGCCACACAGCCAGTCATGGAATAAGACAAAAAGAAAGACATATAGAATAAAGAAAGATAAGAAGCCCAGAGGCAAAATGCAGTTAAAGTGAAATGAGATAATTTAAATTAGAAAAGATTGCTAAAAACAAGTCAAGGTAAGGCTGAGTATTCATAAGTAAGAATAAGTCTGTATTTATTTGGGAGCTCGGGTCCTCTGAAAGAGCAGTGCTCCTGCTGACTTCATCTTTTTTATTTATTTATTTATTTTTTTTTGGTGTCTTGAGACAGGTGTTCTCTGTGTTTAGCTCTGGCTGGCTGTCCTGGAACTCCCTTTGTTGAGCAGGCTAACCTCAAACTCACAGAGATCCGCCTGCCCCTCCTCTTGATTAAAGGCATTTCCTTTTTGAGACAGGTCTTACAGAATCTGGAGCTCACTGATTGCGTGGACTGGGTAGCCGGTGAACCCCAGATTCCTTTTATTCACCACTGGAATTACAATTAGCCTACCCTGCTCCACTTTTTTTGTGGGTGCTGGAGATCCAAATTTGGGTCTTCATGGTTAAATGGTCATCGCTTTACATACTGAGTTATCTTCCCAGCTGTAGTGATTCATTTTTCAATGGTGACGATGGGGTCATGATAATTCCATGTCTTCCTCCCACAGGGAAAGCTTTAGGCAAATCCACAGTGGTCCCTGTGCCGTATGAGAAGATGCTACGTGACCAGTCGGCTGTGGTGGTACAGGGGCTTCCTGAGGGCGTTGCCTTCAAGCACCCTGAACATTACGATCTTGCAACCTTGAAGTGGATCTTGGAGAACAAGGCGGGGATTTCATTCATCATTAAGAGGTGAGGTGCCGTCTCCTGTGTCTTCACACAGTTAGTATGAATCTGTAGTTGTTTGATTCAGATGCTGTTTGTGTTGATGCTTATTCGAGTCTTGTTTTCATACATGGCTTCATGTTTATTTTCATGCAGACCTTTCCTTGAGCCGAAGAAACACCTCGGTGAGTACATTCTGTTGTTTACACATTAGCCTGTGGATTCTTGATTCTCTTTTTTGGTTTTCTTTAAGTTTGTGATGTAAGACTTTTTTCTTTTGATTTTTTTTGAGACAGGGTTTCTCTTTGTAGCTTTGTAGACCAGGCTGGCTTTGAACTCACAAAGATCCGCCTGCCTCTGTCACCTGAGTGCTGGGATTAAAGGCATGCACTAGCACCGCCTGGCTGGTAGTTTTTTACTTTTTATGTGTTGGCACCACATATGCTTCTGTGTACTTATGTATTTGTGCAGATGCCAGAGCTAGTTGATACTGGGTTATTCCATCATCATCCTCAACCTTATGTTTGGGACAGGGTCTCTCACGGACTCTGGTGCTCCCCAACTTGCTGGTGAAAACTCTGGGCTCTGCCTGCTTCAGCTTCAGCTTCTTTTGAGGATACAGGGAATCCAAACTTTGCTTGTGTTACAGATCCAAACTTTTCCATGCTTGTGCTACAGATCCTTAAGCTACTGAACCATCTCCTTAGTGCATACAGAAATTTAAATTTATTTCATGGCAGGGAGGGCATATGTGCATCGCACAAGGTAGAGATCAGAGGTCATCTTGCAGGAGTTAGTTTTGTCCATTATATGAATTTCTAGGGACCAAATTTGGGTTGTCAGGCTTAGCAGCAAGTGCTGTCTGTCATTCGTGAGCTGCCTCACAGGGCCCAGTCTTAACATTTAGACGAAATGGCTTTTCTTCTTCTGTGCATGTTCTCTGGATGTCTGTTTTCTTGACTGGGAGGTGATTGAGTCCACAGTGCTTGCTCACCATGCATGCTGGTCTGTTGTATTGCAAAAAAGAGGGAAAACATCACCAGACCTTGGCGTGGACATTTGCCTTGCAAGTAATACAGCTTTTTAGCTCCTGGATCCAGGTCTGCAGACCATTTCCAGTGGTGCTAGGAACCTAGCATTAGCGCTAGTCAAATAAATGCTCTACTGAGCGGCACCTCCCAGACCTACAGTCTATTTTGGGTTTGCATATTGCAAAAATGTAAAGACACAAATTTGTTTTGTATCTGGGTCTCTAGCATTCTAGGAGCAATCAGTAAAGAGTGCACTCACGCTCTGTGTTGTCTTGGTAAGTTTGCTGGAAGTCAGCTGACCCTGACTGTCTTTCAGTGTTTCCTTCATGCAGATGTGTGAGTGGAGAAAGTGTCCCTATCCTTCCTGCCACAGTGTGCCTTTGCTTCTTCACTCTGGTCTGGTTAGGGTTAGCACCGAATACTAGTGTCTAAAGTATATGTCACCCTGATGTCCATGTTAGGACTCCATGCTGCTCTCTGTGTTAGGCGAGCATTCCTCTTTGACCATTAAGGGGGAAGGCATTAGTGTGTGTGGTCCTTTTTAAGACTGGAAAAGAAGCAGGGTTGTGGCATAGGTGTGAAATCCCAGCACTCAGGTAGCTGAAGCAGGAGGATGGAAAGTTTGAGGCCAGCACTGACTTCATAAAGAAAAGTTCAGGGCGGGGTGGTGGTAGCACACACCTTTAATCCCAGCACCTGGGAGGCAGAGACAGGCGGATCTCTGTGAGTTCAAGGCCAGCCTGGTCTACAGAGGGATTTCCAGGACAGCCTCCAAAACAATACAGAGAAACCCTGTCTTTCCCATAACCCCCCCCCCCCAAAATCATTCAGGGTTAGATTATGGGCACAAAAGTGGCACAAACAGCTTGCCAGACTGCAAGTAAAAGGTACATGCTACCAGGCCTGATGACCTGAGTTACATCCCTGGGACCCAGGCAAATAAGCTGCATATGTTAGAGTGCATTTTTAATGCCTTTGCCTTCGTTCGCTGTGAAATGAAGGCCGAGGCAGAAAAATGTGGAAGTCCATAACAAGCCCCGTAGTCCTGAGTACATAGGGCAGCAGAAAAAAATAGGAGAGAGATCCTGCCTCAGCAAGGTGTCCGCCGGCTCCCATTGTGAGATGCACTTGGACACGTGTGTGTACACACATGCACTGTGAGTGACTTGGAGCTTGTGTTTGTGTTCATTGTGGAATGGCTGTGCTAGCTAAGGAGTGTCCCTTATACTCTGTGGGCTTTTGTTATGCGTGACCATTTTTGTGATCAGTCTTTTACTTAAAATAGTGGAAATAGTCAACTAAATTATTGAGCTAATTAAATTTTCATCCTTGCAATCAATCACAACGTCTGAGCATGTTAAGCACATGGTGTGTCAGTGACTAACATATCCAATCCCTATATTTTTATTTTGTGTGTGTTGTGTATATGTGTGTTTGTCTCTGTGTATGGGTGCATCTAGGTGTGTGTACACACATGTGGAAGTCACAGGTTAACAAACAAGTCCTCTATTGCGTTACACTTTAAAAAAAATAATTGTATTTATTTATTTTGGGTTTGGTCTGGGTACATGTATACCACCGCATGTGTAGGCCAGAGGGCCTTATTTATTTGTTTGTTTATGTTTATTTATCTGGAAGCTTATTTAGAGACACTTTTGTTCTATAAAGTTAAGATCCTCATGTTATAATCTCCTGGGGAACAGAAACTAAGTCTGTAGACCAAGCTGGATTTGAATTCTTTTTTTTTTTTTTTAATTTAACTTTATTTTGTATGTTGGTGAGAAGGTATCACATTCCCTGGAACTGGAGTTACGGACAGTTGTGAGCTGCCATGTGGGTGGTGGGAATTGAACTCAGGTCCTCTGGAAGAACAGCCAGTTCTCTTAACTGCTGAGCCATCTCTCCAGCCCCTGGATTTGAATTCTTAGAGATCTGTCTGCCTCTGCCTCCTGAGTACTGGGATTAAAGCCATGTGCTACCATGCCTGACTAAAATACATTTGTTTATTTAGTTTTTATAAACAAAGTGTCTAACTTATTCTCTGATATGGGGGTTGGTCTGGTTTCTTGTTTTCTTTCTGACAGACTACTATGGCATCTGGTGACCTTTGCTCATGGTCCTTCTGCCTTAGAACAGGGCATCAGTTCCTTTGGACCCGGGGTTTTGGATCGTTGTGAGCCATCATATAGGTGTTGGGAACCAAACCCAGGTCCTACAAGAGCAGCAACTGCTCTTAACCATTAAGCCATATCTCCAGCCCCAGCATTTCTATATTTTTACATGAATAGAAAGATAATGTGTGTTTTGTTTGGTTTCTTGTTTTGAAATTACCTATGCTTTGTATTAATAGTTGATTCTTATTCTACTGTTGTATGCATATCCTCCCGTGCCCCCACTAAACACACTTTAAAAATACTGGAAACAGGCCTCTTTGTGTAGCGAGGGATTCACAGAAATCTGCATGCTTCTGCTTCCCCCCAACCCTTTCCCCCTGGATCTTGCTCTGTAGACCAGGCTGGCCTCGAACTCACAGAGATCCGCCTGCCTCTGCCTCCCGAATGCTGGGATCAAGGGTCTGTGCCACCCACAGCTGACAGTTCCTTTAATTGCAGTATGATTTGACATTTATAGTATGGCACAGGCTGGCAACTGATCGTTAGCTGTGAACACTTCCATTGTACCCCAAACCCCTGCTGAGGTAGACCCTCAGACCTCCAGTAGGGTCACACCCGCATCAACATTCTTACTGTGCGCCAGCCAAGAAATATCAGCCCACTGACAATAAGTGTGTGTGTGTGTGTGTGTGTGTGTGTGTGTGTAATGAAAAGAGGATGAAGGAGTTTAGAGGCTATGTTTGTACGTCTCTCGAAGTTTCTCCTCTAGGTCCTCCCAACCCCACCTCAAATTCCCCACAAGCCAGATCATATATGGTAGCCTATGCCTGTAATCCTGGCACTGTGTGAGGTGAGAGATTGTCACAAGTTGAAGGCCAGCCTGAGTTACATAATTCTAGCTACAAAGTGCAAAAACAGCAATAACAAAAGGAGCTGGAGTGGGCTTCGTGGCGGTGCACACCTATAAATCCAGCAGTTGGGAGTTTACACAGAGAAACCCTGGCTCAAAAAGAACAAACAAACAAACAAGAAAGGTGGGGACCGTTTGGGAATATTAAAATATTAACCCTACCTGCAACTGGCTTTTGTTTGTAGGTGGTCGGGTGATGGCATCGGAGACTGAGCGAACCATCCTGTCTCCCAGTGGAAGGTAACAGCCCTCACCAGCTCTGTAGTGCCACGTGCCCCAGCTTTGCCAAAATAGCAGACAGCCTCGTGCCACACATCCAGAGTGCAGCGTACACTTGAGTACCTAGTGGTAAAAACACAGATTGTGTTTTTGAGACAAATCCTTACTTTCTAGTCGCCCAGGATTGTGTCACACTGGACTAATCCTGTCTGAGGCTCCCAAGTGCTGGCATTACAGGTGTGTGGCACCAGGAATTTATGTTTGACTCAGGAGTTGTGCACAGTGGTACTTCTTATGTAAGGCTGGACATCGGGGAGGCTGTTGGCTATAGTTCGAGTCGCTCTCAAAGTTGCATCCCATGATCCAAGTTTCTTCCTCCTTTCAGTTGTGGCCCCATCAAAGTGAAAACTGAACCCACTGAAGACTCTGGTATGTACTGGAACTCTTAGAGTTTATTATAAAAATACAGTATTTCCCTTAGTTGAGGAGGTTCTGTTTTGAGTCGGTAGTTATGTCTTGTTATGCTGACCAGACAGGCCTCTCATGAGCCCTCTGCCTCGGCATGTATCACTCTACCCAGTTTCATTGTAGGAGGGGCCCCTACAGATTTATTTACAATTAATAAGTTTTGTGCATGTGCCTGTGTGTAATTGTGGTATATTTGTATGCATGGGTTGGGGGGGAGGTTGTATGCCTGTGCATGCTTCAAGGCCAGAAGAGGGCATCTGGTGTCTCCTGCTCTAGCTGGTCCTTTGAGAACCCGGGCCTGCTGTCTTAGAAGATCAGCCCCCTTGTCATTGCCTCCCTCAGAGCTGAGGTTACAGGCATTGGCCGGTTTGGTCCACCTGTTATGCTAGCTCGGAGTACTCTAAGCTCTGGTGCTTAGATTGGGTAGAAAGTATTCCCAAACCACTGAGCTGTCTCTCCAGCTCCCTCACTGTGGTTTTGATTTGTAGTTTCCTCATGGCAGGGGAAGCTGAATATTTTTTTCATGCACTCATTAGCCATTCCTGTGTCTTTGATTACATTTTTATTTAAATGCTGTTATTGTTTTATCGTGTGTGTGTGTGTGTGTGTGTGTGAGAGAGAGAGAGAGAGAGAGAGAGAGAGAGAGAGAGAGAGAGAGAGAGAGAGAGAGAGAGAGAGAGATTGCGAGAGACAACAGCGGGTGAGGGAGGGAGAGAGCGGATCCAGGCAGGCGTGTGCTATGGTGTGCCTGTTGAGATCGGACAGCAGCCTCCAGTGTTGGTGTGAGACATGTTGCTGTCTGTTAGTTTCTAGGGCTTCTCTGCCTTCCATCTCAAGAGACAGAGCTGGTATTTGAGACACTTACCATCATGTCCAACTTCACATGGGCTCTGGGGATACAATCTCCAGTCTTTATGCTGTGAGATTGACTCAGTGAGTCCCTTCCCTAGCTCTTGTTTTCTCTATTTTTAACCTGTGGTTATTGATTTTTTCCCCCCAGTTGTCAGAAGTTCTGTGCATCTTTTGGATACAAGTCAGAAATCTGGTCTTGCAAATGTTTCTTATATCCTGGGCTTGGTCTTTTTATTTTCTTTTATGGTATCTTTGAAACTCAAAAAATAAATGTGGTTTTCAAGATTGTAGGGGTTTCTTGCCGGGCGGTGGTGGCGCACGCCTTTAATCCAGCACTCGGGAGGCAGAAGCAGGCGGATCTCTATGAGTTCGAGGCCAGGCTGGACCGACAACCTCCAAAACAATACAGAGAAACCCTGTCTCGTAAAACCAAAAAAAAAAAAAAAAAAGATTGTAGGGGTTTCTTTTTGATTTTAGATTTTTAAACATGTTTTACTCTTGGATTTTCTTTCTTTTTTTCTTTGTCTTTTCCTTTTTTGAGACAGGATCCTCTATGTAGCCCTGGTTATCCTGGAACTCTTTATGTAGACCCTTACACACACACACTCACACTCACACTTACGCACACACACTCCTAAATATAACCTTCTCAGGGTTAGGGTTAGGGTTAGGGTCAGTCTGTACAATGTTACATATGTGTATGTTTTTGCAGAGAAGACTATTTCTTTCTAATCTCAGTATTCCTTAGTTGCCTGTAGTTCTTTGTATAGAGTTGAAATCTCATGGGTTTTAAATTTTTTAAATTTAATTTTCAAAGTTAGCACTCAAGGTGGTGGGTTTTTCTGTGGCATATATTTTTTTAATAAAATAATTTTTAAAGCTGTAAAGGTGCTGTACTCAGGAGGCAGACAGCCTGGTCTACAGAGCAAATTTTAGGACAACCAGGGATGTACAGAGATACCCTGTCTCAAGCAAACAAAAAATGTTTTTTAAAATTTTTGGTTAAAAAATTGTGTGATGTCTGGAGAGATGACTCAGCGGTTAAGAACACTGGCTGCTCTTCCAGAGGACCCAGGTTCAATTCCCAGTACTCACAGAGCAGCTGAACTGTAACTCTAGTTTCAAGGCATTCAACAGCCTCTCCTTACACAGATACACATGCAGGCAAAACGCCAATGCACATAAGACAAAATGATTAAAATTGTATATTTGTGTGTGTCTGTGTGTGTGTGTCTGTGTGTGTGTGTGTTGTAATTAAAGGTATGTCTCTCTGAACCAGACACAAGATTTATTTTTATTTTCTTTTTACCTAGAAATATTTGTCCAGCCTAAAGTCAACAAAGCTTTGCAGTTAGGTTTCTTCTTAGTGTTTATAATGTTAGCTCTTAGGGTTGGTCTGTGGGATGGTGAGGCTGTTGTTAGCACGCTGAGAGGTCAGAGCTTAAACCACTCAGCTTATTTGGATGTTGAAGACCCTTCCTGCTCTACTGAGGGACTTGAGTCTCTGTCAGAGGTAGCGGAATTAACTCTCCTTCCCCATCTTAAGAGCAGCCGGTCAGCCCTATGCCACTGGTACCCTGTGTTCTAAAAGTTTCCTTTGTCTTTCTGACTGGGCAAGATGTGGTATCCGTGCTTTTCTTCCTCTTATGTTTTCCCATAGAGCTAATTGATTTTTACTGTGAAGTTTGTTCAGGTTGGTCAGTTGGGTCTGTCTGTGTGTCTGTCAGTTGCTGAAACCTTGACCTGGTTTGGGCTGCAGATGCTTTCCTCCAACCTCTCCCTAATAAGCATCTGCCCTTCAGAGTCTCTAAATGTGTGAGGATTGGGTATACAGTGCCCTGGAACTGTGACCTACTGGCGCCTTCACTTGTTTTGTAGGCATTTCTCTGGAAATGGCCGCTGTGACGGTAAAGGAGGAGTCAGAAGACCCTGATTACTATCAGTGTAACATTCAAGGTAACAACTGATTAACGCAGTCTTTTCTTCCCGACACTCGCTGGCGGCCTTCAGCTCGCTGAGCAGATCCCCTTCTTTGCCACGGTGCGTGTTCCTAGTCTCCATTACAGTCAGGCGAGCTCTGTCCACATGCGTGTCTTCACTTGTACAGTCAGTCTGGTTCATCTTAGCAGTTAGCTGTGGCCTGGGGGCCCATGCTTGCATTCTCGGCACTCTCGAGGGAGACCTTGCTGCACACACACAAAGATGTCAGTGACTGCTTCAGGGCGTGCCGTGTGACTTTCACAAAGTTGTGGTTTGCACTTGCCTGGTAGACTTGATTTGTTTTTTAAAGTGATAACCTTATTGGGTGTGGAGTAGTCTACAAATGCCCAGAATATTTCATGGCGTTTAAGTGTGCAAATACCTGTGTATGTGTATTGTTGAGTTTCAGTGACAGTCATTTAAACAAAAAGTGGGGGTAGGGTGCCTGCATATATGGAGGTGAAAGGTCAGCTAGGAGTTGGTTCTTTCCTTACACTGTGCGGCTCCTGGGGATTGAACTCAGATCCTTAGACTTGGTGGCTGGTGCCTTTACCCCCTAACCCATCTTGTGGGCCCCTCATTTATGTTGTCTGTAGTTAGTTTTGTACAGTTATGACTGTGATATAGGATTTAAAGCTGAGACAATCATGAAGATTGTTTTTATGGTTTTCGAGGTAAAATGTTCAGAGTAGTTAGACTTGGTTGTTAGTTTGCTCATGTGTATGTACATAAAGGTAGACTGATGTTTCAAATAGAATATCCCTACTTTTAAAATTTCTTCATTGTCATTTTTATTGCCTGCCGTGAGTATAAGTCCCCCATGCCCCTCCCCCCCATGTGTACACATACTCTTAACACCCACACTTGGAAGGTGACATTTTGTTTATTTGGTATTTTTTTCAAATCGTCTCTTATGTAGCTCTGGATGTCCTGGTACTCATTAAGTAGACCAGGCTGGCCTCAAATTTGCAAAGATCCACCTGCCTCTGCCTCCTGAGTGCTGGGATTAAAAGCATGTATCACCACTGCTGACCTTCGTTATTTTTTATTAATATGTACTTATTGTACAGAATGATGGTTTGCTTGGCTTGAGTCAGGGTCTCGAGTATCTCAGGCTGTCCTTGAGTCCTTCTGTCTCTGAGGATGATCTCTAACTTGTGATGACACTCTTATCCTGTCCAGCCCTCCTGACTGTTTAAGCCCTTCTGTCTCTGACGATGATCTCTAACTTGTGATAATACTCTTGTCCTGTCCCCTGCCCTCCTCCCCCTCCTGACTGTTTGGTTTGGCTGTTTGTTATTCTCATTGATTGTTTCTGCAGTGCAGTTGAAGAAGTTAAGGTACAAGTTCAGCTGGCCATTTCCCAGGCCAGTAGAGCAGTGCCTTGTGGGTATTTCTGTTTTCTTTCTGCCCTTCTCTCTGTCTTCCTCTCTCCCACACTCCTCGTCCGTGCTGGAGATTGAAGCCAGGGCCTTGGGCTGTTGGGTGAGCAGGTGTCCTGTCCCGGAGCCACATTAGAACCACCCCAGAGCCCCACGGTGTCTCTCCTTTACACGTGCCTTGCTTGCACTGTGTGCTAGTGTCTTTGTGACATTGCCTGTGTGCTATTCAGATTGTTCAAGCGCAGTGGTTGTCAACCTGTGGGTTGTGACCCCTTTGGGGATGAATGAAGACCATCAGAAAACACGTATATTTACGTTATGATTCATAACAGTAGCAAATGACATTTTTGAAATAGCAGTGAAGATAATTTTGTGGTTGGGGGTCACCATAGCATGAGGAACTGTATTAAAGGGTCAAAGCATTAAGAGGGTCGAGAACCACTCACTGGTCTAGGGTGTTTTCTGTGTTGTATTTAGATAGTATTTTGTGTTCATGTTTTCTTTTATTGTGGATATGTGGTTTTGCTATGAGCCCAGGTTCTCAAACCCAAGATTCTTCATACTCATGAGTGTTGGTGATACAGACTGTGGTTACTTGTTGTTTATTTCATTTCTATTTAAGAAGTAGCCAGTGAAAGTAGTGCTTTGCTTCTTTAAATTGATGAATTCTCAGAAGCTTGTGTGGGGCTTTAGCGCAGTGGGCGGCATTCACCTAGCATGCTAGAAGCCCCAGCCTTCATCCCCAGCATCAAATAGACGGCCCAAAATGTGTTGCCTAGATCTGTGTTTTATGGTGGCTGGAATCTACGTTTTCCCTAGTGAATTAACTTATATTATGACATCCTCATTCATGAGTGTATTGCACTTGGCCCCGTGACTCTGCTTTGTCTCTTGACTCTTGGGGTATCCAAATCCCCTTCCTCTCTCCCAAGTACTGCCCTGTTTTCAAAGTACTTTTACTAATGGAAAAACTTGTTAACTTAATGAAAAGGATTCTGGACCAGAAAGTGCCTCGATTCCCGCTTGGTGGTTTGTTGTGTATGCCTCCGTTGTGGTTGACGGTTGCTTACTTTCTTCAGAAAGCCTGGGGGAGGTTAACAGTTTCTTCAGTACCCCTGTAATGGGAGAGCAAACAGTAGGCAGGCGTGTGCAGTCAGCCTTTGCTGTAGGCAGCGCCTCCGTGTGAACCTCAGGGCCTCCGTCACAGACATGCCGCCCATGTCACAGACATGCCATCCCATCCCATGCCGCCAGCCATCCTCAGTGTCCTTTAACTGTGTGCACATACCCTTACCCGGACACACTTTCCCATCAACCAAGACCATCGACTAACATCACTTTTCTTTACCTGTTTTTATTTCTAAAAAGGCCATCGTTCATACACCTCACCCAGTGTGCACTAATATGACCAGCATATGCTTTGAAATCCCTTTTGAAGCTTATCTTTGTATTCCAAAGCAGGCCCTTCTGACACTGATGGTGTTGATGAAAAGCTCCCCCTTTCGAAGGCTTTGCAAGGTATCGCCTTTCACTTCTGCTCTCCCACGTCCTGTTCTATTTACTGTTTCTTTATATTGGACAGACTGTTTTAATAATTATAACTATATTACTTTTCCAAATGGAAAAGGAAAAAATGTATTGGCCTTTTTTTTTTTAAACATAAATGAACTTCACAAGCAAAATTTTTCAAAACCAATTTTCCCTTTTGTGAATCTAGTAATGAATCTCGAAATGGGTACATGACACACTTTCCTATTGAAGGTAAAGTACACTTTATACCTTTATCAGCATAGTCAGCAGTCAGGCTGTTACTGTTGGGTTAGCAGTATGAATAGCGCTAAGGCGTGGTGGAGCTTACCTTGGGAAGGATTGCAGACCGTGGCTTGTAACCCTGTGCTCAGTAAATGACTTCTTTGGGTAGCTTTTGTGCTGTGTCCCAGACTTGGTCATAGTCTGCTAGTGATGGCATTCCCTTTATCCCTTCTGGCTTTGATCTCATGAGATTTGCTCTCTTCAGCATTGCTTTATAATGTAAATATGATTGTGTCTTTCACTTTCGTAGATTTTAGTAGAGCAGAGAGGACACGCAGGGTCATAGTATGCATGAGCCACCTCCTTAACATGCCCTCAGTGCCTCAGCCACTCCAGGTGGACGGCTGGCCTCTCCTCCCTTCTCTCATGTCTTGGCTTCACATCTGTTTGTTTTGACTTTACACACTCAGAGAATTTGCAGCTCCATAAATGCAAAAGTTAAGGTAAAAGGGGGATAAGAGCGTGTGTAGAGAAAGCCCAGGGGTCTGTGGCTCACGGTTGGCTGGCCAATATAGTGCTGCCCTTAGCTCTGAGTTCTGCCGAGTTCCCACCTCGAGCAAGCGGGAAGCTTCCCGACAGTCAGAGCATGATGGCACATGGCGCTGCAGCAGAGACTTTGACCTCGGCTGGGCACTGAGAGCTCTGAGACATCCAGGTCAAGTGTACCAATAACGCTGGCCTAAGCCTTAGGCGTGCGGAGCACAGTTGTCAGGAGGCCTACCGCCCACCTCAATGGCTCCTGTGCTGGCAAGCGTCTATTTCCCTTTATGCACGATGGTGTTTCTCCTCTTTTCCTGTCCCCAGCTTAGACACTTAGAGATTGAGGATGCACTTGGGGACAGCTGTGCACTGGATCCTAAGGGGCCGTTGGGTGTCCTGGCTGTGGCTCTCGTGCTGTGCCTGGTCCTCTTGCTGTAGTAGGATGGCCTGCTCTTCCTGTCTGCCTGGCCCAGCAGGTGGCTGGATGTGTGGCCCATGTCCAGAAGCAGGCAGGTCATTTCCTGAACTAAATGCTTTTGAATTAATGACAGTCTCTAACATTTTAAGTACAACTTTGATTAAATTATGGGTTCGTGGCCTATCATAGTAGAAAGGAAAAGTGGGAACATTCCGCACACAATAAGCCTTGACTTTGTTTTGTTTTGACACCTTGTTAAGTCCCTAGATAAAGAATTTCTCTGATTTGGTATTTTTGTTTGTGAGTTGTTGCCAGACAAGCATGGTACCTGGACTGTAACTGCTTCTCAGATCCCAGCATCCCTTGGCAATGTAGCATGTGGTGACAGTGACTAATACCAAATCCCAGCCCTGCATAGTTTTGTTCTGGATGTTTGTATTTTCAAGGTCTCAGCTTCCAAATAGCAGAGTTTAAATATTTTTCTGAGATAGAAAACATTGTTTGAATTTATTACTGAGTTAATAAATCTTTTTGTATGTGTTTATTATGTTAAATTGTATGGTCACCTAGTCTTTCTTCTTTCGCTGTTAGTTTTTACTGGTTTAGTATATGCTGTTCGTTTTCTTTTTAGGAAGCCATCACTCCTCAGAAGGCCACGAAGGAGCAGACGTGGAGGTGCCAGCCGAAGGTTAGGAGAGAAGGGACCTGGAATCTGCCATCTCTGTGCACGCTCTCCGGAGATGAGATGGTGGCGTTCAGTGCCTTCACGGCCAGCACTGTTGTTTTTTAGAGAGGAGGCATATGGTGGCTCCTACTGTGCTAAGGGGCGCTGGGCCTGCCTGTCAGGGCTAGTGAGGCTCTTGGTGATGCCAAAGAGTGGGTTGTTTTGTTCTTTTTTGCTTTTGTATGCTGTGTTGAAAGTACACTGGGGAGAAAACAACTCCGATCCTTTATTAACTTACTTAATTGATTATTTTTCAGTATTTTAGAATTCAGATGATTCCTGGTTGTGTACTATTTAAATGTACTACTTACCTTCCCCAGTTTGTTCCTAGGGCAACAGATAACTTTGTGACTGAGAAGTTGCCTGTCTTCTCACTGTCTACCCACAGCTCCCCCAGGAGTGGCTGCCACTCAGCTAGCCACTGAGTTTTCCTTGGCACTCAGTGACACAGTGAGAACTGTTGGGGGCCACATGGCACAGTGTCCCCTGCTGAGGGGGTGGAGTAGTTCATAGACGGCTTGTAGCCCTCCAAGGACTTGATCTCTTGTTCCAGAATCAAAGCGGTTTATAGAGCACAGGGGCACTTACCCTGAAAGTTGCTATTTCTTGTATGTGTTGTTTCATTGTATTTAAGGAATCATGCTTTGACCTTTACTTTCTAGTGAAGGGTAATCCTAGCAAAGACCACGGATGATCTATGCACAGTCAGTGGCAGAAGTAGGCTTCTAGTGGGAATTTGGTTCTCAGGAAATTTGATGTTCTAGCCGGGTGTGGTAGCGCACACCTGTTATCCCAGCACTTGGGAGGCTGAGGCAGGAGGATCAGCCGTGAGTTTGAGGCCAGCCTGGGCTACATGGTGAGTTCCAGGCCAGCCTGGGCTATATAGTGAGACCCTGTCTCAAAATAATAAAAAAGAAGAAATCCTTGTGCTAACTTGATGTTCTTCATAGGTGATTGTGTGCTGAGAGCCCTGTTGGGCTTGGGGAGGTAATGTGAGGGGCCTCTGTAGCAGGGTTAGGCCGGGGTGGGTGGTCCTGCTAACAACAGGGCTTTGCTCAGGACCTGCATGGTTCATCCAGCACTCAGACTGCTTCAGGGTTTCACACGTTTGTCAACACATACTAGGCCCCGGGAGACTTGTTTCTCGTGAAAGTCTTACTGATGTATTAACAGCTGGGTGCACTGGGGCTCTGCTCTTTATTCCTGTACTAACAGCAGATATCATCTTTGGCAAGTCAGTTAATCTCTCAGCCTTTGCAAAATGAAAGACAGCTAATGAAAATTCCCTGCGCTTCCAGCACTAACACTCCCTGTTTATGTACGTTTTGTGTAGTAACCAAATCCCAGTCAAAGTCTTGCCAATGAGTCAGCTGCAGGCATGCATGCACTGGTCACCGTCTTTCTCTTTATATGAAGGTCTCCTTTGCAAAAAGTTGGTTGTGGTTTTATTTAACAGTATAAGCCACTGATAGGATTTCTGGAAGGAGAGAGGCCACAGTGTCCACACCTTGAAGCATGCTTTTATCTGGCATCCTCCTGTTATAGCAAAGAAACAATTGTGAGTTTGCTGTAGTCACATTCCTCCGAGAGCATGAGCTCTTGAGTCCACTGATGCAGGTAACTTGGTATGATCTTAATGTTACCCAGCGCTTCTCTACATTCTGTTTTCTTTTACCCTAGTTATAATCAAGGGTCAAGTATTTTTAATGAACATGAAATGAATTCAAATGCCAGTTGCATTTCATTGTAGGCTTCTTTGGGAGCACCAGACAGTAAGTGTTGGAGCACATGGAACATGCTGAATAATGAATGTCATTTTAGAATTTTATTTTTTTCAAGATTCTACTCAACATGTCCCTTCAGAAACAAGTGAGGACCCTGAAGTTGAGGTGACTATTGAAGGTTAGTTGTTCAAGCCTTGACTCCAAGAGTTCACTTCTGGTCGTGAGCATATGTGTCACAGTCACACTGAGTATGCATCTCATCCATTCTGAAAGAAGCTGGGGACAGAGCAGCCCACGCCCCAGCAGGGCGCCCCCAGGGCCTCTGGGGGTACTGGTGACAGATTTAAGCTGTGCAAACTAGACTTGGCCTGGAGGTAGACCAAACTATGCTTTATGTCATTAGTAATGGGGAGGGTGGGGGCATCCAAACCTAGGCCCACTCACAGAGACGGATTCCAGGATTCCAGGGTTATGACAGAAGAAATTTAAGAAAAGCTGGAGGTCCTAGTATCTTAGTCAGCAGAAGGGAGGAGAAGGCTGCCCAGGCTGGCCTCAAAGGTTTAGGCTCATGCCATGTTCCTGCCTCAGTTTCCCAAGTAGCTGAGACTATAGGCATATGCTATCACACTGGGCGAGTCAGTAACTTTTAAAGCAAGTCCCTCCCCCAATACAACTTACTTATCTTTTGAGAAGTTTGGAAGCAATGGGTACAAGTATAATTTAACATAATCTCCAGTAGCTAAGTTGCCTCAATATTAATTTAATTAATTAATTTATTTTTTGTTTGTTTTGAAATGGGGTTTCACTGTGTATCCCTGACTGGCCTCAAACTTACTATGTAGATCAGGCAACCTTGTACTCACAGAGATCTGCCTGTGTCTGCTTCCTGAGGTTAAAGGCCTGTGCCTCTAATACTTTTTTTTTTCTAGAGTAGTCTCACTAGAGGCCTTGGCTGTCCTGGAATGGCTTGGTAGACCAGGCTGGTCTTGAACTCTTGGCCAGTGCTGGCATTAAGGCGTGTCCTGCCCTCCGGGCTTTTCTTCCCTTTAGTTGATTTGTCTTCCCATACTCCTCTGTAAGTGTTCCTCGGTGTAGTGCTTTCTTGAACAGCACGGCAATCTAGGGGCTAAAGTTCTACCCATCTACCCCTTCATCTGGGGACAGTGGCGGCACATTGCTGAGAGAGTACTTATACACACATGAGTGTGTGTGGGTAGCTGCTTCTGCAAATGAGTAGATGCATTATGATACAAGTTTTTGTCACACAGCTCATGCCCCCACCTCCCCAGTACCACACAGTTGGCAGTTCTCTTTCCTAACCACAGCATAACCTTTCTTGGATTGGGAGCTTGGGTGTGCTCTGTCTCCCTCTCTTGTCTCTCTCTGTGACCTGTCCTTCTGTGTCTCCATTGTTTTGAAGATGTGCACTGGTTTGACAGCTTCCACGTGGTAGAAGAAATCTTTTCATACTTCATGTTTCAATTTCAGTAAATTAATGCATAGATTTGTCTTCCTTATTAACATAATTTCATTAACCTGAAAACTACTTTGAATTCTTCGTAGTCGACTAAAGAATTGAAAATTTGTCAACGTTAGTTTAAAACCCATTAAGGACAGGTGAGGTGGCTCTGCTGGTAAAGGCACTTGTCACCAAGCCCGATGGCCTCAGCTCAGTCCCCAGGACCCACCCAGTGACAGAAGAGGACCTCCTGCTCTCTGTGTGCTAGCCATGGGGTGCCTGTGCCCCCCCCCACAGCAAATGAATACATAATAAAATTGTAAAATTTTTAAAGTGATTTATTTTATTTTTGTATGTTGGTGTTTTGCCTGCATTTAGGTCTCTGTCTGAGGGTGTCAGACAGAGCTGCCACGTGGGTGCTGGGAATTGAACCCCAGAGCCTCTGGAAGAACAGTTAGTACTCTTAACTTCTGAGCCATATCTCTAGCCCCAAATTATACTGTTTTAATTAAAAAACTCTAACTTCTAGAAAATTATAAGCATGTAAGTGAGATAATAATCAACTTTGTCCTTTATATAGAAATGGGAAAAGTAGGTGCATCTTTGAATTATAGAAATAAAACTTCGGATAAGACAAAGAACCAAGCTGGGTTTGGGGTTTTGTTTTGTTTATTTATTTGTTTTGAGACATGGTACCCCTGGATGTCCTAAAACTTGATACGTAGACCAGTAAACCAGACCTCGAACTCACATAGATCCACTGGCCTCTGCCTCCCTTGTGCTGGGAATAAAGGTGTGTATCACCAAAGTTGTCATAGCGACTGTATTGATTATTCACACGGTAAATTCTGTCCTACAGCACCAGAGTCACACAAGCAAGCACACTAAAGGGGATGGGACAAGGTCCTTGCTGTGTATTCTGTTTAGTGTCGAGAAAGATCCCTGCCTATCATGAATGAAACCATTGTCAAAGGAAAAGTACAGGCTCCAGAGATGCCTGAGCGCTTAGAGCGTTGTTGCTCCTGCCCAGGACCCGTATGTTGTCGACATGCCTCGACTGCTTCAGTTCCAAGGATCCAGTGTCCTCTTCTGGACTCCAAGGGCGCCAGGCATGCACATGCTGCACATACATTCATGAAAGCACATAAAATAAAAACACTCAATCTTAAAGAAAATAAGGAAAAGCGTGTCTAGGGATTTGCTTCTATTTTGAAGAAAGTTTTAAGAAAAATGAACACCCCTGTTGCCTGGGGAGGACTGTTTTCCCCTACTGTTATCTTTTTACATTTTCCTAGGAGTTTATAGAGTTTAAGAGAAGAATAAAGAGAAACAAAATACTCTCTTGGCTGTGGTGGCGTAGATCCTTACTCCCATCAGAGGCAGGTGGATCTCTGAGTTCAAGGCCAGCCTGCTCTGCAGAGCAAGTTCCAGGACAGCCAGGGTTACACAGGGAGACCTTGTCTGGGGAAAAAAAAAAGTCTTGGTCACACTTCGTAGTGTTTGACCTTGATGTTTGCCCTATCTCTGAGTTTCCGGGCTCTTGTTGTGTTGATCCCCCTGCAGCTGGAGGCAGGCGATAGCAGCTCACTGCCGACACATAAGTGAGCTGTGTTTGTGAAGCTTTGGAGCTGTGTGATTGACTCTACAGGCCCTAGTCTCAAAACCACCTTGCTTACAGCTGAGGCTTAGGTTGGCTGCTGTTTCCTTTGCATATGCAGAGAAGATGTAGGACGTGTGTAGTGCACACTCAGTGGTCTCAATACTCAGGACTCTGAGGGAGGAGGGTGCCATGAAATGGCTGCCAGGCCAGCCGGGTCCTGTGTGGGAGTGCATGGGGGAGGGAGAGCTTGGCATGCTGTAGCTTGCTCTTGTACGAGCTCTGTTTAGCTAATGAAGAGACTTCTTTGAAAAGCTGTTTCCTTACCACAGAGTTGTCCTTCAGGGTTCTGTTCCTAAACCCAAGTCCTTTCCACACACTGAGGGCTGCAGCCCAGCTTCTCACCTGTTCACTGTTTTCTTGAAGTTTCTTTACAGCCAGTTTGTTTTCTGATTCATGTTGTGTTTTCATGGATGAATTTTTTTCCTGTTACTGTTTTTTTTTTAAAGATTTATTTATTTATTACATATACAGTGTTCTGCCAGAAGAGGGCACCAGACAGATTGAATTGTAGGTGGTTGTGAGCCACCATGTGGTTGCTGGGAATTGAACTCAGGGCCCCCGGAAGAGCAGTCAGTGCTCTTAACCACTGAGCCACCTCTCCAGCCCCGCTGTTACTGTTTTTTAAGGCCATACGAATATTTCTGCATGCTCGTGGTCTGAATGGCCACTCACTGCGCATCGCCACAAGCGTTACCGCAGAACTGAGTGCGCCCCACACGCCTGACAGCTGTGTTATTCTGCTTTAGTCCAGGGCTGCTTCCTACACAATGTGCGCATCTCATCGCATGATTGGCGTCTTCACTGTTAACCTCAACAGCCACTTGATCACAAACAGATGAGAGCTCTGAGAGTTTGGACAGCGTCCTTTAGGGCTGTGCTGTCGTTGGGATGCTTAGGGTTGACAGTAGACAGATGTCCTGTTCCAGAGATGGCCTTTGTCTGCAAAATTAATACCGAGGGTATTGGCTGCTGCCTGTAATTGAAGCCTGCAATAGGTTATGTGCTCATGCGGTCATTCCAGGACTGGAAGAGCCTTACATGTCCCTGGTGATGATTTGCCTGGAGCAGGGACAGTTCCCACCCTCACGGTGTGAGGCAGGTGTGTTGGAAGGAGGCTCTGGGCAGAGCGGGCGGAAGCCACTGGGGCTGCTGTTGGGTTCATTCATAGTCAGAGAGGAGCTAATGTGAAATTGCAATGCATGGGTTAGAGCCAAAGGAAGGTGAGCCACACCTCCTAGCAGCCCCCGACGAGGCTTGGAAAGCAATTGGCTTACTGCTGAGCCACTTTTCCAGCCGCACGTCACTTCTCACAGGAGAGGAAATGTGATTATGTTTTAAATACTTTGCATTTTTTGTTAATTGTATTAGTACTCTCCTAGGCCTTTTTATTAGATTACTTCATAAAACATGTATCAGTATATATTGAATTCTGAAATGGATTCGACTGACTTAAGACTTAAGTGAGGTGGTTCTGTTTGTCTGTTGTTTGTTTTTTTTTAGGTAGGCTCTCTGTACATAGCCCTGGGTGTCCTGGAACTCACTATGTTAACCAGACTGGCCTTGCCCTCAGACTGCCTGCCTCTGCCTCCGAGTGCAGAATTCAAGGTGTGAGCTCCTATATCCAGTCTAAGAAGTGATCTCTTGAGACAAGAAAATCTGCCTCACTGTTTTTCCTCGGCCTCAGTTTGAAGCCGACCATCTTTTGCGAGACCTACTAGGAGGTTGCGAGTTAAACCTGGAGCCTGTCTTCAGTCTGACCCCCCCAGTGCCCAGCTGTTTCACAGGGTCGGATCTCAGCCACTGGCTGGCCTCTCTGTTTCTTTTTTCTTTTTAAAAATGAGACAAGCCGGGCGGTGGTGGCGCACGCCTTTAATCCCAGCACTCGGGAGGCAGAGGCAGGCGGATCTCTGTGAGTTCGAGGCCGGGCTGGACCGACAGCCTCAAACAATACAGAGAAACCCTGTCTCGTAAAACAAAACAAAACAAAAAAAAAAAAACGAGACAGTGTGTAATGCATCTCAGACTGGCCTTGAACTCACGATGTAGCCTACCTTGAGCTTCTGATCTCTTCTGTGCTGAGATTACAAGTACGTGCCATGGTACCTCGTTTTCCTCCCTGATTTTGGAAGCCCATGGTAGCCTCAACCTTGACATCCTCTGTCTCTCAAATGCTGACATTCCTGCCCTGTGCCGTCACACCTGGCTTCAACCTGCTTGAGGTGTTCGTTTTGTTTTGTTTTGTTTGGGGGAGGGGGTTCTCACTGCATAGCCTTGGCTGTCCTGGAACTCACTGTAAACCAGGCTGGCCTCAAACTGACAGAGCTCTATTTACCTCTGCCTCCTAAATGCTGGGATTAAAGGCTGACTTTTTCCTTTCTATGTCTGTTTGAGAATAACAATTACACCTTGGTTATCTTAATACTTTTTGTTGTATTTGAATGGTCATTTGTGATAGCTGTTGTCCTTGAGTAGTAATTTCTAGTCTATATTTACTGATTTTTTTTTTTTGAGACAGGGTCACTTGTATTCCAGGCTGGTCTTGAATTTGTCATTTAGCTGAGGATGACCTTGAATTTCTGATCTCCCTGTTTATACTTTTCTTTTTACCTTTCTAAGATAGGTTCTCACTGTGTAGCCCTGGCTGGCTTGGAGCTCACAGAGATTCATCAGTCTCTGCCTCCCGAGTGCTGGGATTAAAGGTGTGCAGCCTAAGATATGTCTTTAAAGATTCTGTAATTTACATTTGCAGCTTAGGTATGGGACCAGAAGATAATAGTGGCCATTTTTCGTGGGCCAGGTGTCCTTGGCTTAAGTGTCAGGTGCATTGAGAGATGGGATTTTATTTGAAGGTCCCCTTTGTGCCATTGAAATAAGCATGGAGTTCCCGAGTGTGCTGACCTGTGTGCCCGTGGACCCATCTGGTGGGTGTTTACACACGGTCCTGTGTCTTGGTGTGCTGACCTGTGTGTGCTGACCTGTGTGCCCCGTGCTCCCATCTGGTGGGCGTTTACACACGGTCCTGTGTCTTGGTGTGCTGACCTGTGTGCCCCATGCTCCCATCTGGTGGGTGTTTACACACGGTGCTGTGTCGAGCGAGTCAACATCTCTGTCCCTTTCTTTCTGGAGATTCTGTGCTGTTGAGATTATTTACAGAGCTAGCTTGGTGGTGCTTTAGGGTCCTCCTCAGTCCAAAGCCACTGTGTCTCAAGTGACAGCAACGACAAAGGCTGGGTGTGCTGCAGTGAAAGCCCAATGCTATGGATGATCTGACAGAAACAAATGATAGGTTAAAAATCCCTACTTGGCAGAAACCATGTGTAGTATTTGATTTAGTCCCCTGTCCCCCCACAACCCAACCACCCTTGTTTAGGGTCATTGGAATCGTTCATAAGCTTCCATTCAGGGCTCATTTTCCTTTTCTGACAACACGCATGTATTGTTAGTAGTGGGAATAGCTTCCTCCATGAAAACCTTTTCTTCTCAGAATGCTTTAAATCGAGCACAGCTGTGGTCATGGAAACTTTTGGAGGGAGAAGTGGTCAGGGGACGAGCAGCTGGCCTGCGGGGTGGGAGAGCTGGAGGTCATGTGGACTGTTCCCGTGAGTGCCCAGAGTTGTCCTCTCCACGGCACTGTCACTCCAATAGCTGCTTCCCGCAGTAATGAAGGCTTTCTTTCTCAAGATGATGATTACTCCCCACCTACCAAGAGGCCAAAGAGCAGTGAGCCGCCCCCGCCTCCACCGGTGCCGGAGCCCGCCAATGCTGGCAAGCGCAAAGTGAGGGAGTTCAACTTCGGTGAGTAGCCCGCTGAGAGAGAGTCGAGAGGTGGGCAGTGGCCGTAGTGCTGTAGGGGAGTGGATCTGCACTGTGTGTCAGCAGCCGGTGTAGGTGGCATGTGGTGGCCATTGGCGCCCCGTTGTCCTGCAAAGCTACCTCTCTTGGTGGTCAGAGTTGCCCTGGTACCCACCCCTCCTGACTGTGCCTCCAGTTGCCAGTGGGTCTCCACTAGGGGTCAGATAGTAGAGGTGGGTTCGTTTTGTGGTCCATATTCTGAAGACCACTTAGGTTTTGAAAAGGTGCTCTACCAGCCCTGAACCCCACCCAGCCCTGACAAAGGCATCTGAGTCTCCCATTTTGTTCTTGGCGCAGCTACTGGTGCTACCCGGGTTCTGTGTGCGTGTGAGTTTGTTGAATGTCTTCAGCCTCGTATGACAATTGCAGCTGCCTCCCTATAAAGCTTCTCCGCAGCTGACTTGCTTCAGGAAGTGCCCCCCTTCCCCCCAGGACCCATGGAGGCCTCTCCTTGCTCCTGTTTTGCAAGGCTTAATTGTGGTCTTTTCAATCACCTATCTTTTCAGTTTAAAAGCTCCTAAGGCAGTCTGTAGAATGTTCTAAAAATAAGTTTCAGATGTCCTTCAGCCTTTAACTGCTCCTAAGAATCCAGAAAAAGGAGAGACCGTGGGGAAGTCAGGGAAAAGCCAGACTGAGAAGAGCTGATAGGCAGCTTGTCTGCTGTGGCGAGCACCCAGTGCCATGCTGCCCTCGTACTGAAAATGGCTTCCTCTCATTTTCAGAGAAATGGAACGCACGCATCACTGACCTGCGGAAGCAAGTTGAAGAGCTGTTTGAAAGAAAGTACGGTATGTCTGCAATCTTTTCAGTTCATGGCCAGCCAGCAGGGCTGCCGGGAATTAGGCCTTCCTCACACACCTGTCACTCTCTCTCTCTCTCTCTCTCTCTCTCTCTCTCTCTCTCTCTCTCTCTCTCTCTCTCTCTCTCTCTCTCTCTCAATGCTCTTTATTTTTTTATATTTATTTATTTATTTTTGAGGCAGACTCTCACTGTGTAGCCCTGATTGCAAGAATTAACTCTGAAGACCAGCTTGGCATCCAATTCATAGGGATCCACCTACCTCTACCTCCAGAGTGGTGGAATTAGAGGCATTTGCCAACCTACCTGCCTCAGATATATATTCACAGATTTACATTTTGTTTATCTTGGCTCTTGGAAACTTTTTTTTTTTAAAGACGGTGTCTCTGTGTAGCTCTGGTTGTTCTAGAACTTACTCTATAGACCAGACTGGCGTTGAGCTCAGAGATCCACCTGCCTCTGCCTCCTGAGTGCTGGGATTAAAGGTGTGTACCACCGGGCCGGGCGTTGGTGGCGCACGCCTTTAATCCCAGCACTCGGGAGGCAGAGGCAGGCGGATCTCTGTGAGTTCGAGGCCAGCCTGGTCTACAGAGCGAGTGCCAGGACAGCCTCCAAAACTACACAGAGAAACCCTGTCTCAGGGAAAGAAAATAAAAAAAAAAAGTGGTGGTGTGCACCACCAATTCCCAGGAATCTTTCTTTAAAAGAAAGAACTTATAATATTAGTGGTGTTGGTGTCTGGAGTGTGTGTATTTTCTGTACCCCCTATGTGCCTGCTGTGGAGACGGTTGTGAGCTGCCATGTGCATCCTGGGAACTGAACCTCTGCAAGTGCAGCAAATGCTTTTAACCCCTAAGCCATCTCTTCAGCCCTCAACGTATATTTCTTTTTTTTTTTTTAAGATTTATTTATTTATTACACATACAGTGTTCTGCCAGGAGAGGGCACCAGATTGAATTGTAGGTGGTTGTGAGCCACCATGTGGTTGCTGGGAATTGAACTCAGGACCTCTGGAAGAGCAGTCAGTGCTCTTAACCTCTGAGCCATCTCTCCAGCCTCTCAACGTATATTTCTTAACTATGGCTGAGAACGTAAATGAAAGTCCAGAGTTGCGATATAATTGATTTGCTAGATGCTGCATATTTTCCTTTATGATTCCCTTATTGCTCCTCCCACCTTGTATTTAGGCCTTAGTTTGTGCTCTTAATTTGCCCGTTTCAAAGCAGGAAACATAGACACAGTTTGTGCAGCAACAGTGAGGTACAGCAGGCAGGCAGGCCATGCCTAGGCCAGGGTGTCATGTCTTCATGGTCCTGGCTTCTTCTTCTGAGTAGGCGTGAGAACTGCAGGTGTGTCTTGAAGATCTGGTAAGACAGCACAGCCCTTGCAGGATGCTGGCTGACAGATGGTTCATGCTTGCTATATGTGTTTTCATATTTTAATGAGCACCATTCTGAGCTGGAGTAGTTTAGTGTGACAACAGTTGCCTGATCCTGAGATCCTTAACTGTTTAAACCAAGGCCTCTGTTAAGACTGTAATTTATTGGATTGGTTTATTTTTATTTTTAATTTTTTTACTTGAGAACACGTCTTACCATGTAGAGCAGGCTGGTGTAGAACTCACGGAGAAGATCCCCGTGCCTCCTGAGTGGTGGAAGCACCACCATGCCCACCAAGCTTCTTTTGTATATGTGTTCCAACTGCTATGGAATTACCATAAATTTTTTTTTTTTTTTTTTTTTTTTACGAGACAGGGTTTCTCTGTATTGTTTTGGAGGCTGTTGGTCCAGCCCAGCCTTGAACTCACAGAGATCTGCCTGCCTCTGCCTCCCGAGTGCTGGGATTAAAGGCGTGCGCCACCACCGCCCAGCTTACCATAACAATTTTTATGTTTTATGAATTGAAAGCAACTTGGGTGGCAATTGGCTGTGTAGAAGGAGGAATTCTCAGTGTGCTCTGTAGACTTGGTATTTGCGCTAGGGGATCAGTGAGTTCATGCTTTCTGTCCATGCATGATATACTTGAAACTTTAATGCAAATGCTAGTGTTCATTGGGTGCACTTGTTCACAAGACACTAGCTGACGTGATGCATTTGGTGACCGTGTCCTCCAGGCTGTGGACACTTCTATAACTGTTGCAATCATTTTATCTTTGGGTAAATAAATGGCTGTTATCATAAATTATGCAGATCAAGAATGTCTTCCTTTCTGTTACCTAAGAGAAATCCTTTTAGAAGTTTAGCAGTAAATAGAATGCTAATGTTCTAAAGCCTTGGCAGTTCCATTTATAACACACACACTAACCACTGTGGTTTTGGCTTAAACAAACTTAGGAAGACAAAGCAGCATTGTGTGTTTGGTTGACATTGTTGTGGCGTTCCCTCCGATCCTTGTCTTGTAATGATGGTCCCTTTCTCTTTTCATCCTAAAGCTCAAGCTATAAAAGCCAAAGGTCCGGTGACGATCCCATACCCTCTTTTCCAGTCCCATGTTGAAGATCTTTATGTAGAAGGGCTTCCCGAAGGGATTCCTTTTAGAAGGCCATCGACATACGGCATTCCTCGCCTTGAGAGGATATTGCTGGCCAAGGAGAGGATCCGCTTTGTGATTAAGAAGTAAGACACCTGCACTTGTCTGTTTCGGTTGGTGCTTTTTTTTTTTAATGCTGGCAAATACTCGTTAATCACAGGCTGTCTTTAGAAGCTGGAATGATTGTGTATCTCTGTATGTTCCACTCTTGGTTTTCCCTGTGTTTGTATGTGCATGTTTGCAGCATGCATTTGCATGTGTGTTTGCTAGTGTTAGTGTCGTGGTAGACCGCTCTTCCACCTCATTCATTTGAGACCGTCTCTCTCAGTCAGTCCCGGGGTTCCTGATTCGGCTTGCCTGTCTAGCCATGTCTCTGCCGTCTGAGGCTGGAATTACAAGTGGGCCACCATCCCTACCTGACATCTGTTGAGTGCTGAGGATCTGCGCTCCGGTCCTCTTGTTGCCGGGAAAGGGCTTTACTGAGCCATCTGCCTGGCAGCCTGGCTTCCACCTTGTAATGTGTGTGTACACGTGTGTTCAGGTCAGACTCTGGTTGGCTTTGAATCGTGAGCGCCTCCTGCCCACCTGGTAGGCCTCACTACTTCCTCAGTGGGAAAGAGCATCGTGTGCTGCAAGTGTACATATGAACATACTGTTGAAAAACTACAATAAGCAAAACTAGAAGGAAGGATGAAAGGGAAAATGAGGGACATCCTTCACACTGATTGGAAGAATGTAACAAGGATGACGTCCTTCACCGTCTGCTAAGCAAGTGCAGTCATCAGAGCAGGTGGTGCTAATGCGCCCTCTTGTTTTTTGCGTTTCTTCCTCTGTGTATGCACACTTGTGCATGCACGCACACGTGAAGGTCAGAGAAGGCCAGGAATCGATTCTCTTTCTACTGGGTGCATTTCATGATGAACCGCAGAGAGACCTGTCTCAAAAGAATAAGTGCGTGGAGTGTAGTGTAGGAAACTAAAATACAGCAGCAAACGTGCACTTAAAATGAGCGGGCTGCAGACGGTCAGTCCAGTGAGTGGGTTCCGAAAGAGGGTGCCAGGACATGGAAAGGAGGTTGTGTCTTTGTAGCATGGGGCCTTAGTTTCACCATTCAAGAGGCAGCGGCAAGAGGATCCTTAGGAGTTTGCAGCCATTCTAGTCTACGTGGTGAGTTCAGGCCAGCCAGGGCTACACAGCTAGACCTTCTTTCAAAAAACATGAGAAAAATGAAATAGTAAAAGTTTGTGATAATTGTTTCACAAGATCGAAAAAAGTAACAGAGTCTTTGATTTCTACAGTACTGGGCGGTGGGTGAGGGGTCAGAGTTCACAGGGTCAGGGTCACTTTCTACAGTACTGGACGGTGGGTGAGGGGCCAGAGTTCACAGGGTCAGGGTCACTTTCTACAGTACTGGACGGTGTGGGTGAGGGGTCAGAGTTCACAGGGTCAGGGTCACTTTCTACAGTACTGGACGGTGTGGGTGAGGGGTCAGAGTTCACAGGGTCAGGGTCACTTTCTACAGTACTGGGCGGTGGGTGAGGGGTCAGAGTTCACAGGGTCAGGGTCACTTTCTACAGTACTGGACGGTGGGTGAGGGGTCAGAGTTCACAGGGTCAGGGTCACTTTCTACAGTACTGGACGGTGGGTGAGGGGTCAGAGTTCACAGCGGGGTGGTGCCCTGAGTATCCAGAAAAGGCTTACCTGCTTTGTTGTGTTCATAGAATTAGCAGGCTCTCGGCATCACAGCCACCACCATTCCGCGTTGTGTCCACTGACCCTGACCTAGCTCCCTAACGCCTCAGGTTGCTCCAATAGTCCTCCTGCTCTCCACTCCAGTAAAGAGCTCTATGTGGCTGTGTGAAGTTGGGATTGTGTTATGGGTGTTTGGTTGTTCAAAAGAATACAGTATGTCTCTTGCCCTGCACATACAAATGTTGAATATATGCAGAGTGTTGTTTTTGTTTGTTTATTTGTTTGTTTGCTTGCTTGTTTGTTTGTTTTCGAGACAAGGTTTCTCTGTATTGTTTTGGAGCCTGTCCTGGAACTCACTCAGTAGACCAGGTTGGTCTCGAACTCACAGAGATCCGCCTGCCTCTGCCTCCCGAGTGCTGGGATTAAAGGCGTGCGCCACCAACGCTCTATATGCAGAGTTGTTATAAAAAAAAAGTGTATAGGTATGTGGGAGAACATATTTTTGAATCTAATATAAAGTTCAAGGACTAAATTACTGTGAAAAATGCAAAATATCTGCAGCAAGGTCCGTCTTACTGTGAGCACAGAGGCTCCTGGAGCATCTTCTGGGACAGTTTGCACTTAGACTCTAGAACCCTGTGGAGTTAGGTGGCCCTGTGCTGGAGTGCAGTCAGCCTTGACGAGTGAGTGCTGTGTGTGTGCTCTTCGCATGCTTGCTAGATACAGCCTGCAAGTTCTCACCATCGAACTCTTTCCTTTTAGACACGAGCTTCTGAACTCCACACGAGAAGACTTACAGCTTGATAAGCCAGCATCAGGAGGTGGGTCTCAGCTTCCTGTTAGTCGCAGCAGTGCGTGTCGGAATAGTGAGCACTCGGGGCAGTGTGGCCTCCTCTGTGGTTGCTATTCTTATAAAGAAGTAGGCCATTGGCTAGCAACTAGGAGTCTTCACAGAGCATGCATTCCATAACCCACAGCAGAGTACTACTTGTTCTGTTGATAAGCACAGAAGATGGGTAGATTGTGCCCTAAAGCCAGAGCTCTAAAAACATCTCTGTTGCTGTGAAAAACACTGACCAATACTGACTTGGGGAAGACAGGGATTATTTGATAGGTTACAGACCATCACTCGGGCTGCCAAAGCAGGAGCTCAAAGCAGGTAGCCAGAGGAAGGGACTGAAGCAGAGCCCCTGGAAGAAGGCCGCTTACCAGATTGCTTCTGCTGGGCTACTCAGCTTCCCTCACACACCCGAGACCCGCTTGTCCCGGGATATGGCATCTCCCCCAGCATTTATCAGCAGTCAAGAAAATGCCCCACGTAGCCCCATAGGCCAGTCTGATGGAAATATTCCGTCTTTCACTTGGGCATGGTGGCATATGCCTTTAATTACAGTACAGCTGTGAGTTCGAGGCCAGCTTGGTCTACAGAGCAAGTGAGCAAGTTCCAGGACAGCCAGGGCTACACAGAGAAAGGCGGGTTGCAGGGAGATTCCCTCTACCTGGGTTTATCTAACTCTATGTCAAGTCAACAAAAGCTAGCTATACATACACAAACAGATAAATACTGCTTTTCTGGGTAGACCTGCACAGATGTGTTTCCTATCTGGTATGGTGGGTCAGTAAAAATCCCAGTACTTGGGAGATCGAACAGTCTGGCCTACTTGGCGAATTCCAAGCCAGCCAGGGCTAATGAGATACTGTCTCAGGAATAAATTAGCTAAAAAGTGTATTATAAAGTCTACATTTGTCAGTTGGATAATGGGTCATCAGTTCTGTCTATTTCAGGACATAGAAAGATTATCTTTTCACAACATGGAGCCGTGTATATAGTCATGCAGTCACATGTTTTAAAGGAAAGAGGTCATAGTTTGTCCTGTGTTCCTCTGGATGGAGTGGGAGTGCCCCCATGAAGATGAATAAAGTATTTCCCCAAGTTTTAGAGATAACTTCTGTCAAAGAAAGGGAGAAGAATTGACTTAGGGTATTCTCATAAGCAGAAGCCATTAACCTGGAAAGTCCTATGCTTGTTCCCTCACAGTAAAGGAAGAGTGGTATGCACGGATCACCAAGCTCAGGAAGATGGTAGACCAGCTTTTCTGCAAGAAATTTGGTAAGCATGTTTTCCCCCCAAATTGAACATTACAGAGCAGTTTTTAAGAAATTACACATGTGAGTTTGTGTTGGGACTTTGTGTGGGGTTGAGTGGGTGCCCACAGAAGCCTAAAGAGTCTGTCAGGTCTCCTAGAACTCGAGTTCCAGGCATTTGTGAGCCATCTAATTTGAACACAGGTGCTATGTAAGGGCAGCAAGCTCTGAACTGCTGAGCCATTTCTCCAGCCTCAAATGGTTTCGTTTTAGGAGTGAGTTGAGATGATTTTGACTTAAACTTGTGTATTTCCTATTGCCTTTGGTAAAAATTAAGTATGAGAAGTTTTCAAGTTGCCGGGCGTTGGTGGTACATGCCTTTAATCCCAGCACTCGGCAGGCAGAGGAAGGCGGATCTCTGTGAGTTTGAGACCAGCCTGGTCTACCGAGCGAGTTCCAGGACAGGGTCCTAAACAACACAGAGAAACCCTGTCTTGAAGAACCAAAAAAAAAAAAAAAGTTTTACAGTTATATAGAAGACAGCTGGGTAGCAATGACCTGTGCCTTTAATCCCAGCACTTTAGACACAGAGGCAGGTAGATCTCTGAGTTTGAGAACAGCCAGGGCTACACAGAGAAACCCTGTCTTGAAAAACCAACCCCACCCACTCCCTTTCCCCAGAAAACTATATAGAAGACTAACCCACGGTATTTTCTTTTTCTCTTTCATTTTTCCTTTTGGGCTGGGATGGATTTGGCCTTGCATACCCTAAGCAAGGGCTTTATCTCATACTGAAAGATAGCAAGCAATTCCTTTCTTGTGAGCCACACCCCAGCCCTGAATAGTTGCTTAATGCAGTTGCACTTATGCAGTGTAGCTATTTGATGGTTTGGGTTCGTTTCTCCTTTGGATCCCTTGTCGTTGTGTTGCTATGAAATGAGAGGGGCATTAGGGCCAGGATGTGCATCTGTCCACTGGCTTCCTAAAGAGTCACTATGATTGTGTTCTGTGTTATCTTGTTGTTTCGAGACAGTCTCCCTGTGCAGATGGTGTGTAGACCAGGCTGGCCGCAAACTCCCAGAAATTCACTTGCGCTTGCCTCTGAGTGCTGAGATTAGAGGTGTAGTTGACCATGTTGGGTTCGGGTGCTGGGAATGGAACCCAGAGCTTTGCACACTGGGCAAGCACTCTCCCACATCCTCAGCTCTCCTGTTTCAGGTTTCTTTTGTTTTTTATCGTTGTTTTGAGACATGTAGCCTCTGCTGTTCTGGAATTTGCTCTGTATTCCAGGTTGGCCTTAATCTGAAAGTATGGCCCAGTGTTTTGGTTTTAGTATTACACATTTGGACACATGTATTTGGCTTGTTAACATTGCAGTGCCTTAAAAAAGAAAGAAAGCTGGGCAGTGGTGGCGCATGCCTTTAATCCCAGCACTCGGGAGGCAGAGGCAGGCGAATCTCTGTGAATTCGAGGCCAACCTGGTCTACCAAGCAAGTTCTAGGACAGGCTCCAAGACAATACAGAAAAACCTTGTCTCGAAAAACCAAAAAAAAAAAACCAAAAAGGAAAGAAATCTCATGTATAAATCTGCCTCCACGTGTGTCCTTCCACCATTGAAAAGTGTCCATGGAGGCCAGGCGAGGGTTTCAGTCCCCTGGGACTGGAGTTGCAGGTGGTTGTGAGCTGCCGTGTGGGTGCTGGGCACCTCATCCAGGTTTTCTGCAAAGGCAGCTGGTGCTCTACCCACTGAACCATCTCCCCATCCCCTTTGGTACTCACTGTCCCTGCAGTAGCAACAAATCAAGTTCCTTTTTGGAAAGGAAGTTTATTTTTTCACTCACTACACTGGGGTAGTGGCTGGGTGATGACTAAATGCTGTCTAGCGACAATCAGAGTTTGAGGCTTTCGTCCTCATCGGTTTCCCTGGCTGCGTACAGTGAGTCGGCCTCAGAGACATCCGCCTTCCATCTGGGTGCAGAGCAGTAATGACTCCTCCCCTCATGTCCAGTCAGTACTCCCTGGACACTCAGCAATATAGAGCAAGTGGTGGCCGTTGTTTATTGCTGGGCATGTCACATTGTGTCCTTGTGGTTTGTGTGTAGGAGAGACATGGGGCTCTGAGTGTCTTGCTGCTGTTGGCTACTGTCGACCTTACCCAAGAAGGAAGAGGAAGGGAGAGGAGAAGTGGACGATGGGAGATGGCTGGGCTTGCATGGCATGCCTGAGGCCCTGACTTTGAGCTCCAGTACTATAAAATAATCTTAGAAGCTTTTTTTTTGTTTGTTTGTTTTTGTTTTTTACGAGACAGGGTTTCTCTGTATTGTTTTGGAGGCTGTCAGTCCAGCCTGGCCTCGAACTCACAGAGATCTGACTGCCTCTGCCTCCCGAGTGCTGGGATTAAAGGTGTACGCCACCACCGCCCGGCTTAATCTTAGAAGCTTTAAAGAGAGAGGGTTGATGATGTAGTTTAGTTGGTAAAATGCTTGCTTAGTGCACATAAAACCCAGAATTTTATTGCTAGTGACCACCACCCAAAACAGAGCTTTCCTGGGCTCGGTGAGAGCACTTTTGGTGTATCTGGGAGTGTGGCAGCCGTGGTGCATTTGTGAGGTTCCTTCGGGAAGAGGGAACTCGGTCTCACTGAGGTCATCCGGGCGCCTGCCCCATGTTCACCAGTGTCCACCGCCTGTTACCGGCGCCTGCGCATTCCTGTGCAGTCCTGCATACAGTGCCCACAGCTCGGGAGGGAGGCGACCCAGCCCAGCCCCACCTTGAGAGCGCTGGTGCCTGTCAGGCAGTGGGCAGGACTTCCTGGTCCGTGTGTGCAGGCTGAGCAGGGTTGGAGGCTGGAGGGTGAACCGGACAGTTGGAACGCTCACTGACCGGTAGGCAAGCAGGGGTGGAGGCTGGAGGGTGAACCGGACAGTTGGAACGCTCACTGACCGGTAGGCAGTGTCCTTGGCCTTTGCCCTTCTCGTTCCCTTTTCCTGTGTTGAGACAGGCTCTCACTGTGTAACCCAGCGTGGCCTCGTAGCAATCTCTCTGCCTCTCTGAGTGCTGAGAGTAAAGGCCTTTGCCACTACGTCCGGCCTCCACCTTGTGTGTCTTAACTGCTGCCAGCTCACACACGATTTCATTTCATAAAAAGCCTGTTAGAGTTAGGATCCTGTCTTATGTAGCAGAAACAACAGGCGCGACTCTGAGCTGTAGCCGCTTTCTGATCCTGTTGGCCACACTCCTTAGTGCCGTGGCGGTGATGACTTCATATCTGTTTTTTCTAACACTAGAGCCCTAATATGAAGGAAGGATTAAGACAGAATGAATTGGGACCATATTTCAGTTGTTAAAGTGCTTCCCTCAAAAGTGTGAGGCCTGGTGTTTGAACTCTAGAACCCATGGTAAAGAAAAGTAGACATGGTGGTGTGTGCCTTGTAATCTCAGCAGCGGGGAGGTGCAAACAGGAGGGTCCCCGGAGCTTGCTGGCCGGCCAGCCCAGGCTACATGGAAGTCTTCAGGGTCATTGGTAAGAGACCAAGTCTGTCTCAGACACAGGTCGGCACCTCCGAGGAGCTGCCAATGCGTACGTGCACACTTAGATGTAAAAGGGGAGGTCTATCCAGGGGCAGAGCAGCTCGGGCTACTCAGAGGCCCTGTGCCAGATTCTGCAGAGGTCACCTACGGGGTCTATTGCCATCTGTCTGCTAGCTTGCTGTCAGTTGTGAATATTTTTGTTTAAAGCTGCTTGGATGTAGTTTCAGATAGAGATTAGAAAATCCATTTAACCCCCTCCCTTCCCATACAGCCACGCCCCCACCCCCTCAGGCTACCCTGGAGCTCCATCTCCCCCAGCCTCAGCCTCCGAGTTCTGGGGTCACAGGCTCACGCCCATGGCTGACTCTTCTTTGTGTTTTAGTTGCAGTTTTGGAACTTTACACTTGGGTTTCGTTGTGTTATGACTTCAGACTGAATCTCCTGACTTGCTCTCATTTTCTACAGCTGAGGCCTTGGGGAGCACTGAAGCCAAGGCTGTTCCATACCAAAAGTTTGAGGCCCATCCCAACGACCTCTATGTGGAAGGACTTCCAGAAAACATTCCTTTCCGAAGCCCCTCGTGGTATGGAATCCCAAGACTGGAAAAAATCATCCAAGTGGGCAATCGAATTAAATTTGTGATCAAAAGGTAAGATGATTATCTATATAGAACAGATTTTAAAAAAAAAGGATTTTGCCAGGCAGTGGTGGTGCACACCTTTAATCCCAGCACTCGGGAGGCAGAGGCAGGTGGATCTCTGTGAGTTCAAGACCAACCTGGTCTATAGAGGGAGTGCCAGGACAGGCTCCAAAGCTACACAGAGAAACCCTGTCTCGGCAAACAAAACAAAAAATTTTTTTCTTCCATGACATTTGAAGATAGGTCTTTTCCCTGAGTGGTCCTTCCTATATATATTGTAAATATTTCATTTACATGAGCTGATTGAGCGAGTGTCTCTCTCCTACAGTACTGAGTTGTGCTGAATGGGGCCCAGAAACAGCTGTCTGTGATCTTGGTACTAAAAAGTAATTGACTGTGTACAGCTGTGTGGGAGTCTGGACACGGGTCCTGAATGCTCTGACCACTAATGTCACCAATACTTTCCCAGGCCAGAACTGCTGACTCACAGTACAGCTGAAGTCACCCAGCCACGGACAAACACACCAGGTATGGTTGCCCAGAACCCGTTCCTCCGTCCATCTACCCTTCTTTCCCTCTTCCCTTCCTCCCCATTTTCGGGTTTTCGAGACAGGGTTTGTTTATGTAGACCAGGCTGGCCTTGAACTCACAGAGATCCACCTGGCTCCTTCCTTTTATTTAAATAATTAAATTTTTTTTACATTTTTTTCTTATTAGTGGGAACTGACTCCAATGCCTCATGTATTTGGCAAGGGTTATACCACTGAATGATGTCCCTAACGCTCTTTTTTCGTTTTCCTCTAAGTTGCACAGACTAGCCTAGAACTTGATTTGTAGCTCAGGCTGGCATTGAACCTGATGCTGAGGTAGCAGAAGCCAAACATGCCTGAGCGGTTCTCGAACACTTTACCCCTCCCTCCAGCTCCAGCTCTTACATTTCCATACTTGTCTTCTCTGGTGTTTCCTGTACCTTAAAGGGAGTGATACAGGTGTCTGCTTGTCTGCAGACCATGGCAACACTGTACCCTGGCAGCTTGACCAAAGTAATCTCTTTTGAAAAGAAGTTTTTTGTGCTGGATGGTGGTGGCACTTGCCTTTAATCCCGTCACTCAGGAGGCAGAGACAGAATGAGTTCAAGGCTAGCCTGGTCTACAGAGTAGTTGCAGGACAACCAGGCCTATACAGAGAAACCCTGTCTCAAAAAACAAATTCTATAGCTGATGTTTTATGTTTAGGCGATTGCAGGACTTTCTCACCCAATCGAGATGTGTATACTCCACCCGGAACTTCACAGCCTTGCCGGTCCTCTTCGTCCTGTGTGACAGGCTACCCCATTAGGCGTGCTCAGTGTGCTTAGCTTTTTGTTTGAGACAGGGACTCTTTATAGGCTACACTGGCTTCAGACATTTAGCAGTCCTGCTTCCTCGTTCTGAGTGCTGCTGTGAGGCCCTCAAGAGTTGAGGATTTTGTAATGGGAACTAGCCACACTAGCTATTAGCCAGAGTTCAGTGTGCGATCTCCTGGCACCCTGCGCGGCAGCCATGTCCCACCGGGCGGAGGAGTGCACAGCGGTAGTCACGGGCAAGAAGGCGTCTCTTGTCCTTAGTCTGTGTGATTGGGGTCAGTGCCATACACAGCGTGATCAGTTACGTTTGACTTTGCTTCTTCCCAGTCAAAGAAGATTGGAATGTCAGAATCACCAAGCTGCGCAAGCAAGTGGAAGAGATCTTTAATCTGAAATTCGGTGAGTGAGATGTGGGCTTATGTCTTGCTTACAGATGGTGGCCGTGTTCCAAATGGATTTTAGGAGTCCAAAATGTAATGAAGAAGGTGCCAGAAAGCAGACCTTCCCTAACTTACTTTTGCTAGTCAGCTCACTCCTTAAACCCATCTTTTCCTGGGTCTCCACTTCTGTTTTTTCCTGTGTCACAGTGAGAGGGAGGGGCTGGGGGGTCCCCTAAGGGTCACTGTGCTTCTCACCTGGAGAACACGTGGGCTGCATTGTTTGCTTAAGCTAATTGACAATGTCCTGGGCTGCTGTGTTAAGGAGGTTCCCTGGGCTCAGTGGGAGTTTCCAGTGGGTTCTCCAGTCAGTTGGGGAGAAGAAAGGATGCCAGGAAATGCCAGCATTGCCTGCTGCGTGTCGAGGTAACATCTACTCTCTGTGGGTCTTTTGCTCTGTTTCTGGAGGCCTAAGCTTGGGCCTGGCCTGCAGGCCAGATTTCCTGGAAGCATCGGGCCTACAGGATAGCACAGATATGTCATCAGCCCCAGTGGCCTTAGTCACTTCTGCCTTCAACACAGAGACCGTTGGATTCATAACCTGGCTGTTTTTGCATTGAAAATGTTTAAGTGTCTCTTTGTTGGCCAGGCTGTGATGGCACATGGCTCTAATCCCAGCACTCAGGAGGCAGAGTCAGGCGGATCTCTGTGAGTTCAAGGCCAGCCTGGTCTACAGAGAGAGAGTTCTAGGACAGCCAGAGCCACACAGATAAGCCCTGCCCCCCCCCCCCCCAGAAAGGTACTATTTGTAAACTGGGAAGAAGACCTGGATAAGAGCTCTCATAGGACAGCTCACAACCTGCTGTAATCCCAGTTCTAGGGGAGCTGACCCCTGGCCTGCTCAGGGCCAGGCACACATGTGATGCACAGACACACATGTAAAGTAAAACCTGTTTTTTTAAGAAGAAAGTAGTTTTTAAAGTGCTATTTGTTTTCTGGGTATGGTAGCTCCTGCTGTAGTCCTGGCTTTTGAGAAGCTGAGGCAGGAGGATAAATATTAGTTTGAGGCCAGCCTGGGCTTATATACCAAGAACCTGTCCTAAGAAAACAAAACAAAAATACTGATGTTAGAAACAATGACCGGCTAGGCAGTGGTGGTGCACGCCTTTAATCCCAGCACTCAGGAGACACAGGTAGGCAGATCTCTGTGAGTTTGAGGCCAGCCTGGTTTATAGAGTGAGCTTCAGGACAACCAGGGCTACACAGCGAAACCCTGTCTGGAAAAAACAAAAATAACAAACAAAAAAGGTGTAGTTTAACTCATTTTTTTAAATTCCAGATTTTTTGTTTTTCGAGACAGGGTTTCTCTGTGGCTTTGGAGGCTGTCCTGGAACTAGCTTTTGTAGACCATGCTGGCCTCGAACTCACAGAGATCTGCCTGCCTCTGCCTCCCGAGTGCTGGGATTAAAGGTGGGCGCCACCAACGCCCGGCAAATTCCAGATTTTTAAAAATATTATCTTACATGAATGGGTGTTTGATTTACATGTATACACATGTGCATGATGCCTGTAGGGGTCAGAAGAAGGTATCAGATGCTTGGAACTGGAGTCCCGGATGGTTGTGAGCTACCATGTGTGTGCTGGTAACCAAATCCCAGGTCCTACAAGAGCAACAGGTGCTCTTAACTTATCTTCCAGTGCTGGCTTTTCCTTATTATTTACTTCCATGTCATCGTCCTAAGCTAGGACTTAATAGTGTCTGTGTGGCTGGAATGCCTGCCCGGAAGTTAGCAGGGCCTGGTCGGTTACAGACACAGACAGAAGAGTCGCTGTCTGAACTTGTATGCTCATGAGTTGGCTTCTCTCTGTCTTTCAGCCCAAGCTCTGGGCCTCACAGAGGCAGTGAAGGTGCCCTACCCCGTATTCGAATCGAATCCGGAGTTTCTGTATGTGGAAGGACTGCCTGAAGGGATCCCCTTCCGAAGCCCCACCTGGTTTGGGATCCCACGACTTGAAAGGATTGTCCGTGGGAGCAATAAGATCAAGTTTGTTGTTAAAAAGTAAGCTGCACCCCCACCCCCAGCCATTTGCTGTGACCCCCGCCTTGCTGTACCTCTCCCTGCAAGTCCTTCATTCCTGGCCTTCTACGTTGAAGAGAGCAGAGTGACTCCTCCCACTGCCCTGCAGAGAGTGGCTGCCTCCCTTATTCCTGTCACATGCTGGTTCAGAACACCAAATTAATCCAACTACAAAAGTCCCATAGTCTTTTACAGCCCCAACACTATTTAAAACTCTTAAGTTCAAAGTCTCTTAACTGTAACCTCCTCTAAAATCAAAGGGCAGATCACATACTTCCAACATAAGATGGCACAGAGCATACATTGCCATTCTAAAAGGGATCATAGTGAGGAATTATGGACCAAAACAAGACCAAAAACCATACTCAACTCTGCATCTCCATGTCTGACGTCAAAGTGCTTTCCAGATTTCCAAGTCCTTTCAGCTCGTTAATTGCAGCATACTTCTTCCCTGGGCCTGGCTTCACTCCGTTAGCAGTGTTCCTTGGCAGGCAACCCATCGCTCTGACCTCTCCACACACCTGGCCTCGGCAGCTTTCCTTAGCCATGGAGGGTGATTCCAAAACCCTTCTTTTATTGCTGACTCTAAAGCCAGAATCTCGTGGCTGAAGCTGCCAAGTTCCTCTCCTTGATGGATGGGAGGAACTCCTCCAGTTACATTTTCATCCACTTCTGTTTATGGTTTCCTTTGCTGCTGAAGCTTTTCTTTAATTCCTTTTCACAAGTTGGAAGCTTAGCTGGGTGGAGTCTTGCCCTGAAGTCACCCCTCCCTTTATTCCACTGAGCATCAGACTTTTCTTTAAACTTTTCATCTTGAGCACTGGACTTAGCTCCTGGTACCCCTTTTCTCGTCAAACTGTACATTTTGTGTTTCTCTTTGTCCAGCCTTTCATTCTAGATCTACCTAAGAGTGAATACTAAGAACCACATGACTCGGACAATAATATTAGGATGTCTGGAAATCCCTGCCATTACCATTCACCCGAAACTCTTCAATTTAACCTCAGGCAGATTTTTTAGGACAGGACAAGAAGCAGCCACATTCTTTGCCATAATATCCCAAGAACAATCTCTAGGCCAATTATTGCTACTCTGCCCCTCTGAGACCACTTGAGCTGGACCCCCTCAGTTCAACCTGCTCTCAGTACTGTCTCCCATGCTCCTGCTAGTATGGCCCATTAAGCCTTGCTCAAAGTGCTCAACCCCTCTTTAGTCCAGCATTCACAATCCGCCAACAGACGGTCACATCAACACCACTCCCTGGTACCAGCTTCTGTCTTAGTTACTGTTCTGTTGCTATGAATGATACCATGATCAAGCAGTCGCTATAACAGGAAGCATTTAATTGGGGCTGGCTTACAGCTTCAGAGAGTTATTCCATTATTATCATCGGCCAGGACAGCATGGCGGCCCCAAGCGTGGCAGGCATGGAGAAGTAGCTGAGAGCCACATCCTGATCCTACAGCAGGATGGGGGAGGAGAGACAAGACAGAGAGTGCGCACGCCTGGTGTGAGCTTTGAAACTCACTGCCACCCTCCAGAGACGCTTTCATCAGCAGGGCCATACCTACTCCAACAAAGCCGTATCTCTTAATGCTTCTCAATTAGGCCAGTGCTTGGTGACCAGCATTCAAATGCACGAGCCTTTGGGGTCACTCTTACTCACACAGCCAGTGTTAGCAGTACTGGCTTCTCTTCCTCCTGAGCTTTCAGTACCCACATGGTAGCTCACAACTGTCTATCTCTCCAGTCCAGGGGATCCAATACCCTCTTCTGATTTCCATGGACACTAGACATGCATGTGTACAGACCGACATGCAGAAAAAACACCAATATATACTTTTTTTTTTTAAGAAACCATTCTGGCAGCCGGGCGTTGGTGGCGCACGCCTTTAATCCCAGCACTCGGGAGGCAGAGGCAGGCGAATCTCTGTGAGTTCGAGGCCAGCCTGGTCTACAGAGTGAGTTCCAGGACAGCCTCCAAAACAATGCAGAGAAACCCTGTCTCAAAAACCAAAAAAAAAAAAAAAAAAAAAAGAAACCGTTCTGGCTGTCTGCGCTGTGTGTAGAGTGACACACTGTATGTTCTTTCTAGGCCTGAGCTAGTTGTGTCCTACTTGCCTCCTGGGATGGCTAGCAAAATCAACACTAAAGGTAAGAGGCCGCGCCACGGGGCGTGTGCACTCCACGTTCTTTGCTGTTCCGGTGTCACCTGGGTCGTATTCCACTGTCACCATGGGCCTTCAGTGTATTCCTTTGCTTTTAAGCTATTTTACTCAGCGGATTTCTTCTTCTTTCTTCTGTTCTTGGCATCCCCCTCCATCCGTGTCTCCACAGCCTGTCGGCATCATGTGGAGGGTTGCACTACCGTTTAATGCATCAGGTTTCTTTGAAAAGAGCCAAACTGTGTGACTGTATTTAATGCTCTGCTTTTACACAGCACCCTCTGTGCTTTCTCATGCAGCCTGCAAAGGTAATCTTACACTTTGCCTTACAGCATTGCAGTCCCCAAAACGACCACGAAGCCCTGGGAGCAACTCCAAGGTTCCTGAGATTGAGGTCACGGTAGAAGGTGAGCTGTTCCACATTTTTCTCTGGACGCCTTACAGTTGTGTGAACTCAGAACTTCTCTGCCTGTGAAGTTTGTCTGAAAAGCGCTTGATGCTAAATTTATGAATTGTTTCTTTTTAATCATTTTTTCAAGACAGGATTTCTCTGTGTAACAGCCCTGGCTGTCCTGGAACTCGCTCTGTAGACCAGGCTGGCCTCAAACTCTCTGAGATCCACCTGTCTCTGCCCCCCCCCGAGTGCTAGGATTAAAGACTTGAGCCACCACCAGTCAGTGAATATTTTGTTTTTTAATGCATGAGACTCTGTGTGTGTGTGTGTGTGTGTGTGTGTGTGTGTGTGTGTGTGTGTGTACGTGCATGTGTGTATAGGTCATTCTTATAGGCCATCTCAGGTGTCACCCTCAGGAACACTGTTCACGGGCTTTGAGATAGGTCCCATTTTTGGACCTTGACCTAGCCGGGTAGTCTACTCTGGCTGCCTTTGAGCCATGTAGCTAGGGATCAAACTGGGGTCCTCAGGCATGGGAGTCACACACTTTGACTCAGCTACCTCCCTGGCATGATTTATGACTGTTTGTAACCTTCTGTCCTGTGGGGCTGCTTGAGGGGAACCCCTTGAATTGTTTTTCCATAATTATAAACTCAGGCAGACCTAACCCAGAGATATGTTTCTTAACTTTTTCCTCTTGGTTTTTCCTACTTTTGATGAAATGCATTTGTAGGTGGTTTGAATATCAGTGTGTTTGTTCAGAGCAGGTCTGTGTCTTTACATATCTTCTCTTCTAGCCTCTGGTCTAGGGCTGTCAACTTTGGAAGTTCATTGTCTAAAATGCGTGACACAGTAACAGGCAGTCCTGAAACCCGAAACTGCTGGGTACATTGTTTCCATGGATGCAGAAGGAAGGAACTGCCCAGGGGCGCCTGTCCTTTGTCCCCCACTCTGTAATCTGTCAGTCCTCCCCACGTGGCTGTCTTGCACACGTGCACAGAGCCCATTTCTCAAAGAAAGGGTGAAAACTGATCATGCTAAGTGGTTAGTAAATAGTGCACCCTGGGTACCAGAGTAAACACCCCTGGGGAGCAGTGGCCCATGGGGAAAACAGTCTTCCTTGCTGTTTCTAGAGAAGACCTGAGGAGGGTGACTTGTCCTCAGGGCTCTCCCTTCCTTGTAATCTCTTGTAAAGTGCGGGTGATGTCCCTTTTAGTCAAAAGACTTCACCGGGAAGCCAAATCAAACCCGGGCTGAGCCCAGGTGACCTGAGGGATGAATGGACGCCGTGTCAGCCCGAGCTTTCCTCCTAAGGTTCTGGTTCACAGAGGCGATGACGCTGCCTTTGTTCTCGTTGGGGCAGGGACACAGGAGGCGTGGAAAGAGTGCTGTAGCCTGGCTGTATGTTTTGTTTTGTTTGTGCTGGCTCTCAGGTGCCTTTTGACATCCGTTGCCAGGACCCTGTAGGGAAAGCTGAGTTGCTGAGTTCAGGTTCAGGGCGGGTAGGGTATGTGTGAGTGCGTGTTACATTTTCTGGTACAAGCTAACGAGCAGTGAGCACCCACTGTGACTCGCTTTTGAATCTTCTCTAGGCCCCAACAACAACAGTCCTCAAACCTCCACTGTTCGAACTCCTACCCAGACCAACGGTTCAAATGTTCCCTTCAAGCCTCGAGGGAGAGAGTTTTCCTTTGGTAAATATGTCTTTTATTTTTCTTGATTTCAGCATTTCACATAAAAAGAATTAGGGTGCCGTGTCAGCAGGACAGTGGCTTTCCTAGGGTGAGTCAGTGGGTACCAGATCCTAACATGCAGCAAGAGCCGGGCTGTCTGCTGCGGTGCCAGTCTTCCTCTGCGCTCTGTGCAGATGTACCCCGAGCCAGAGCTGGCATGTGGCAGCCACTGTAACAGGCCGGGAGAGGCCCGTTTGTTCTTCATTTCAGCATAGGTCGGCGTGTTGCTAACCCACTCTAACAATTCAGTTATGAGATTGGAGGGACAGGCAAGGCAGCTGCGTTAGAAACCTGTGCGTTTCTTATATGAATCGTGTATGTATACACGATGTCGAAGGGGTAAAACTGTCTGTGGACACAGACGCCCTAGTGGGCCAGGAGAGAGGAAGGAGGGTAGAGGGGAAGGGAGCGTGCGCAGCACACAGATGTACTCTAAAATGTCCTCGTCACATAACGACACGTGTTCATGAGGGGACGACGTGCTGTGTGCCCCCCTGTGCTCTGTAGAGCTGCAGAGAAGAGATGAGGTGAAGCCAGGTTGCTGGTGTACTCCTTTTTTAGTCCCCGCACGCAGCAGGTAGAGAGAGTGAAACTAATGAGAAAAATCCCTGCCCTCCCTCGGGGACCCTTGCTGACGGGGGCTGCTGCTTTCTACTCACAGAGGCCTGGAACGCCAAGATCACAGACCTGAAGCAGAAAGTGGAAAACCTTTTCAATGAAAAATGCGGTAGGTTTGTTCGGAAGCATTGAATATGAGGTAGTTCTCCAACAGAATTGGTCTAATTTGATATTTATGTTTTTGGAAATGTGTGGATTTCAGCTTTCCATTTCTACCCATTTTACTGACTATCAAGAACTCAAGAATGTTTTGCAAAATTAGAATGAATATGATTTGTCATATAAGTAAGGATTCGTAGCTGCGGCAGACTGTTGCAAATGACAGTCGTGCTCCCGATTGAGAGTGTCGTGTGTTGCAGGGGAAGCTCTTGGCCTTAAGCAGGCTGTGAAAGTGCCATTTGCCTTGTTCGAGTCCTTCCCGGAAGACTTCTATGTAGAAGGCTTACCCGAGGGGGTGCCCTTCCGACGGCCGTCCACGTTTGGCATTCCAAGGCTGGAGAAGATCCTCCGGAACAAGGCCAAGATCAAGTTCATCATTAAAAAGTGAGGCTGGCTTCACGGAGCAGCGCTCTGGGTTGCAGTAGCTCTTCAGAGGGCTGTGCTCTTACAGGGATGGAGAGACAGCCGGTGGTTAAGAGTGCTCGCTGCACAGCTTTCGGTACCTGAGTTCAGATGCCCAGCTCCCTCATAGCAGGCTGGGAGCCTGTGACCACAGTGCTGGGGATGGGCAGAGGCAGGAGGATCGTTGGGGCTGCTGCCTGGAGTGGGAACGTGCGCTGTGGGTTCCGGGAGAGATCCCCTGCGAGAGAGAGAGAGAGAGTAGCAGGGGACACCCGAAGCCCTCCTGGCCTCTGCACGCACAGGCTTGTGTGCCAGCCCACATGTATGTGCGCGTGCAGCACGGCCTTTTGTTTGTTTGGAGGCAGGACGTTACTTGCACGCACACTCTTCATGCATGTACTCCAGCTGCGGGCATCTGCTCTTGGGTCTCATACCGATTCGTACTATGTGCTCTGCCCTTGGAAAGAAGATGGCAGTGACGTTGGGGTGGCCAGAGAGGGTCCAACAGCAGTAGAGGCTGCTGTAGTGGTCCTCTGGGTGAGGCTGCTGTAGTGGTCCTCTGGGTGAGGCTGCTGTAGTGGTCCTCTGGGTGAGGCTGCTGTAGTGGTCCTCTGGGTGAGGCTGCTGTAGTGGTCCTCTGGGTGAGGCTGCTGTAGTGGTCCTCTGGGTGAGGCTGCTGTAGTGGTCCGCTTGTGTGGCCCCTGTCTGCCGAGCTGCAGGCTCCAGTCACCGCGTCTTGACTGTGTGCTTTGCTCTGGGTTAACCAGCCTGTGCCTTTCCTCTTGCTTGTAGACCTGAGATGTTCGAGACGGCCATCAAAGAGAGCACCTCTTCCAAAAGCCCTCCGAGTGAGTGTCCTTTGTGAACAGTACTGTGACAGCTTGGCTCCCGTGCAGTCATCAGTTCTAGAGCAGCAAACACTGCAGTGTTGCTCCGCAGAAAGTCTGCCGCAGCAAACACTGCAGTGTTGCTCCGCAGAAAGTCTGCCATCTTTCGTGTCTTACTGGAATACAGTCAGCATACAAGTACCTGCCCCACGGGGCCAGGCGGGGGCCAGCTCGGGGCTGACAAAGCATGCGGCTTTGGGTTATTAGAAAAAAAATTGACTATGTATGTTTTGTCTAAACCCTAATCTTTAGTTTTTTTGCTTTCAGGAAAGATAAACTCATCACCCAGCATTAATACTACTGCATCAGGTGTGGAAGACCTTAACATCATTCAGGTGACAATTCCAGGTATGGTCTCTGCCTGCCTCGTGCAGTCTTTTAGACACCCATGCATATAAAAGAAATCGTGTTAAATATCTCTTTAGCCAGGCGGTGCTGACACACAAAATAAGACTCCTTTAACAAACAGACTGTCTGAAACAGCAAGGATGTTTAGCATTTTAAGTCGGTTTTAGAACATTTTTATGTTTCCTTTTTTAAATTTCACAGTTATGTATTTTTGTCTTGGTGATGTCATAATGTGGAAGTTCCCCCCCCTTTTTTTTTCTTAAAGGACAGAGTTTCTGTATTAGCCCTGGCTGTCCTAGAACTTGCTGTGTAGACTAGGCTGGCCTCGGAGATCACTTGCCTCTGCCTCCCGAGTGCTGGGACCAAAGGTGTGCGCCGCCACCACCCTAGAGTCTCACTATGTAATTCTGGTGGCTTGGAACTGCCTCTGTTTCCTGAGTGCTGGGGTTAAAGGTGTGCGTTACCATGCCCTTTCTAGAAAAGGACGTGAGTCAGATGCAAGTGCTGTCACTCTGAGCTTTCCTCTTGTCTTCTAGATGATGACAATGAACGGCTGTCCAAAGTTGAAAAGGCGAGGCAGCTGCGTGAGCAGGTCAATGACCTCTTCAGTCGGAAGTTTGGTAAGCTTGTAGCAATGGCGGAGGCGCTGCTCCATACAAGCCTTTGAGTGGATTCCCATCAGGTAGTTGTGAAGTGGTGAGAGTTCTGTTCGGGAGCTCTGTGTGTGCTAAGAAAACAGTAGATGCTTGTTAGACGGCACACTTGACGACCAGGGTCAAAACTTGATAAAGTAGCATAGCTGCTGGGCTTTGTGACTGTTTTGAAGATGACAGTCACACTGGTCCCTGTGCTGTTTGTCTCGCTGCAGGTGAAGCTATTGGGATGGGCTTCCCTGTGAAGGTCCCCTACAGGAAGATCACCATCAACCCCGGCTGTGTGGTGGTGGACGGCATGCCCCCAGGGGTGTCCTTCAAGGCCCCCAGTTACCTGGAGATCAGCTCCATGAGAAGGATCTTAGATTCTGCTGAGTTTATCAAGTTCACTGTCATTAGGTGAGACCTCCCTGCTTAGTCAGAATGCCACCAGGCTGTCATTCCCCAGAGTGCTGTTGTGTGGAGGTGACGGGTGTGCAGTTAGATTTCCTGCCTGAGATACCCCACGCCGCTACAGTTTTGTCAGTGCTGGAGTCACCAGGCAGTGTCGTGCCACCCAGCTCAGCTGATGCTGGCTCTCTTGGTGTGTGTCCACTGGACCCTGGGTGGCTTGGCCTCAGATCCGCAGAGGTTCTCTGCCTCCACGTCCTAGGGTTACAGGTGTGGGCGTCTTGAGATAGGACCTTGCAACGCAGCCCAGGCTGAACTTGACCTCTGTCTTCTTGCAGGGATTGTAGATGTGCAGCACGTGTCTTTAGCTTTTTTCTCCAGTGGTTTGGTTTTTTGAGAGACTCTCAGTATGTGTCCCTGACTTGGAACTTTTGTATAGACCAGGCTGGCCTCAAACTCAGGGGTCTGAGTATTGAAGTGCGTCTGCCTTCCAAGTGCTGGGATTAAAGTCGTGTGTGCCACCTCGTCCTAAAGTATCTCTTAGTCCTCACAGAAGAAGTTGGTGTCATAGAGCGTGTAGTTGTGGCCTTCCTGACAGTCTGATGACAGATCTGTCATTCTGTCCTGACTGCTCCTTTGACCCTCCCAGCCAGTCAGCTACCCTACCCCGAGTCCCAATGAGGAGCAGTTTTTTTTCTTTCCACTTTAATGGAACCTTTTTTGGGGGTGAGGGCGTTGGGTTGAACGATGTCTTACCGTGTGACTCTGACTGGCTTAGAACCCATTGTGTAGACCAGGATGACCTCCAACACTCAGATCTGCTTGCCTCTGCCTCCTACAGGCTGGGATGAAAGGTGTGTGTCTGGCCTGGTGTAGCACTTTCTAGTAGTGACCTTCATATATTAGCTATATGTGCTGTATATGTATAGCTATGTTTTGTGTGTTCTGTGACTAGTTAACTGCCGTATGCACTGTACACATTACATGTGACTAGTTATAACTAACTGATGTGTATTGTATGTGATACATACTAATAGCACAACCGGAGTCATTGTTACAAGATGTAATAGTCATTTCATATGCGTCTTAAATGTCTCTTCCATAGGGTTATAAAGTAGGACATAAGTGGCATAAATTAACAAAGTAAGCAAATGTTCTTATAAAATGAAAACATCACATTATACAATTCTTTTTCTCTTTAGACCATTTCCAGGACTTGTGATTAATAACCGTGAGTATTTCATGAAGTTTTGTTTTGCTTGTTTTGTTTCTCGGGATCTGAGAGTGCACGTGGGTGTGGGTGTGGGTGTAGCGCAACCTGCAAAATAACACATTATATCATCCATCCTGTAGTGCGCCGCCTACTTGTGAAATTGGTCGTGTTGCTTGACTTCCCTCATCCTCACTTAGTCAGAAAATGGTAACTCGGGGGAGGTGGGTGGAGACCACTTTTCAGCGGCTCGTTATAAGCAGGACTTCGCTAGCTCCCGCCTGGGTTAATAAAGCTCCATTATGTAGTCAGAGTGCTCAAGTTCAGGAGGCTGTGGGCCCCAAATGTGCTGGGCATGGTGGAGGAAAACCTGCAGTTCCAGTGCTTGGGAGGCGGAAGCAGGAGGATCAGGCTAGAGTTCAACACTGACTCTGGCTGTATGGAGTTCAAGACCAGCCTGAGCCACTGAGACCCTGTCTCCAAAGAGAAAGGGGAGCAGGGCCGCTGGTGACTCTGTCTCCAAAGAGAAAGGGGAGCAGGGCCGCTGGTGACTCTGCTGACAAAGAGAAAGGGGAGCAGGGCCGCTGGTGACTCTGCTGACAAAGAGAAAGGGGAGCAGGGCCGCTGGTGACTCTGCTGACAAAGAGAAAGGGGAGCAGGGCCGCTGGTGACTCTGCTGACAAAGCTTGCTGCGTGGCCTGGCGACCACTTCCACCCCCGGGACCCACAGAGGTAGAGAGAGAGAACCAACTCCACAAGCTGTCCTCTGGCCTTCACACGCGTGTCATTTCATGCATATTCACACAGACTTCATACACACACAATTTTAGAAGTCCATGGTAATTTTTTGTTGTTGAATCTCCCTTGCAAATTTTAGTTGATCTGTCTTTTTTTAAGACAGGACTCGTGTCACCCTGGCTGACCTGGAAGTTAATACACAGACCAGGTTAGCCTTGAACTCAAAGATTCCTCCACGCCTGCCTCCTGAGTCCCACAGTAAAGGTGTAACCCACCACCACCAGCTCTGATGCCCTCTCTGTGATTTTAATTCCCAAAGAACACTGTTTTTATAACACAGTTTGTAGGTTCCTATGTGTGACACTCAGCTTTATTCTTGTCCTTCTAAAGGACTCTGGTTTGAGTTTATGATTACGTCTATTAGGATCACTAGTTGTCATTTGTTTTTTGTTTTTTTTTTTCTGCTCTTCACTCTTTTGGCTTTTTGGGGGTCCTGCTACCCACCTCCCCAGTAATTCACACACGGAGTCTATTCTTTCTTATGAATGTTCTGCATGAATCTGGCTTGTTTCTAGCCAGCTTTCCTTATCTTACTTATCCCATCTACCTATTGCTTCTGGGCTTTTACCTTTGTCTGTTTCTGTAGACCTTCCTTCCTTCTCCATGGCTTGCTGTATAGCTGGGTTCCTGGCCCCCGATGTCCCCTCTTTGTTCTATTTTGCTCCTCCTTTTCTCCCAGATTTCTCTTCCTATTTATTCTCTCTGCCTGCCAGCCCCGCATATCCTTTCTCCTGCCTTGCTATTGGCCACTCAGCTCTTTAATAGACCATCAGGTGTTTTAGACAGGCAAAGTAACACAGCTTCACAGAGTTAAACAAATGCAACATTAAAGAATACAGTACATCTTTGCGTCATTAAACAGATGTAACATACCTTAAAATAATATTCTGTAACAATTGGTGTTCCTTTTTTTCTTTCCCCTTTTATTTGTGTGCGAGGTCCTGGGGTACTCAGATCTTCTTTTTTTTTTTTTTTTTTTTTTTTGGTTTTTCGAGACAGGGTTTCTCTGTGGCTTTGGAGGCTGTCCTGGAACTCGCTTGGTAGTCCAGGCTGGTCTCGAACTCACAGAGATCCGCCTGCCTCTGCCTCCCGAGTGCTGGGATTAAAGGTGTGCGCCACCACCACCCGGCTGGGGTACTCAGATCTTGTCATTTGACGTGCAGTGTTCAGAAAACAGCTTGTGGCGGTCAGTTCTCTCATATTACGGGGCCCAGGGATTGCCGTTTGCAGGCGCTGCCTTAACTGCAGAGTTGTACTGCCGGCTCCCCTCCAGTCTCGTGCTGAGATGCAGAGTTGAAACATCAGCATAGGAGTGGTCAGGTGTCGGCTGTGTCAGTAATTACGTCATCTAAACTGTCCTGTTTGGTTGCAGAGCTGGTCGATCAGAATGAGTCCGAAGGCCCTGTGATACAAGGTAAGAGAAGCAGACCCCCATCTCATGATTGCCTCAAGCCCTGGTTCTCACTGTGTCCACTCGCAGTGCACAGCTGGTTCTCACTGTGTCCACTCGCAGTGCACAGCTGGTTCTCACTGTGTCCACTCGCAGTGCACAGCTGGTTCTCACTGTGTCCACTCGCAGTGCACAGCTGGTTCTCACTGTACCCACTCGCAGTGCACAGCTGGTTCTCGCTGTTGAAGTGTGTGTTTATGCGAGTGTGGGTTCGAATGCACGTGGAGGCTTGGGCTGCAGAGACGGCTCAGTGGTGGGAACGCTGGCTGTTCTTCAAAGGCCACTGGTTCAAGTCCCAGCACCCACATAACGGATTGCAGCTGCCTGTAAACCCCAGCTCTAGGGCCTCTGAAGGCACCAGACATGTGCCTGGTACTGTCACACATGCAGACAGAATAGCCAGATAATTACAACACAGTTGACAGGCTGTTTCCATCATTAGGGCTTTCTCTTCCTCTCCTTCTAGACTCTTTAAATAATTTAAAGCAACCTTTGAAAATTGTCCAAACGAGGGGCTGGAGAGATGGCTCAGAGGTTAAGAGCACTGACTGCTCTTCGAGAGGTCCTGAGTTCAATTCCCAGCAACCACATGGTGGCTCACAGCCATCTACAATTCAATCTGGTGCCCTCTTCCAGCATGTATGCAGAACACTGTATATGAAAGAAAGAAAGAAAGAAAGAAAGAAAGAAAGAAAGAAAGAAAGAAAGAAAGAAAGAAAGAAGGAAAATTGTCCAAACGAGACTTGATATGTTTCTCTTTAGAATCCGCTGAGGCGAGCCAGTTGGAAGTTCCAGCAACAGAAGGTAAGGACTGCGCAGCTCCCATTGTAGAGGTCTGGAATGACTTTGGTGCCTCAGGTCAGCATGATTAGTTTGTTTTTTAATGTGTATGGGTGTTTTGCCTGCTTATGTATCTGGAGACCATGTGTGTGCAGTACCCAAGGAACCCAGAAGGGGGCCTCTTACCACCACCCTTGGAATTAGATGGTTGTGAACCTATATGAGGCTGCTGAGAATCAGACTCAGGTCCCCTAGTGCTCTTTACTGCTGAACAGTCTGTCCAGCCCCAAAGTGATAAGACTTCCCATGTCCCATAGAGACTCCTGATAAGACTGCCCCCGTTTCGTGGAGACTCCCAGAAGGCAGACAGGCTCCCTCCGTTCTCCCTTTTATGGCTCTGACTGAATTCTAGATCCCTCTGGCCTGGCCATACGTGCACACACAGCAATATGGAATCTGTTCCTTGCAAATCACAAGCTGTGGCTCCGATGAAATGCGGCAACCATGTGCAAGGCCCGGGCTTTACAGCAGAGACCGATGGAGGGTTCCAGGCAGGTGGTAGTAGGTTTGCATGGCTTCCTTCACAGACAGGCAGGTTTGCACCCGCAGTGCAGCTCACCATCACCCTTCTCTTCTCTCCCTTAGAAATCAAAGACTCGGATGGAAGCTCACAGATCAAGCAGGAGCCAGACCCCACGTGGTAGACTGCGTCTCCAGGGTAAGAGCCTCTCCTGACTGTCCGTGGTCCGTGCTCGCCTGCAGAAGCAGGCATCACTGCTTCAGCTGAGTGCAGGGCAGCTGGAGCTGCCGGCCAAGCCATTTCTCAATCCGAGACGTAGGAGGACTGGGCTTGGAGGCACAGTGTGTCTCACGCACCCCAGGCCAGCCGTGACATAGTGTGGCCCTGTTTGGGGGCAGGGGGTGGGAGGTACCGTAGAAGCATCCCCTTAGAAGAGGCATGTTTTGAATGTTGTTGCTGACTTGCTTGGTCCACCACTAATAGGAGGGTTATCTGCGACCCACAAGTAAGGAGACTGCATTCTGCCATACGTCACATGGGGGTTTGCCCAGTGTCGGAGCCTGCTCCAGCGAGTCAGCTGGGTTACGTGAATAGGGGTGTGAGGATTGAGAAAAGGCAGATAAAGAGACAGAGAAACACAGGACACATTCGGGAGGACTGCCCAGTCCATACCTTTCAACCCAGCAGACAGCCTCGAGTTTTAGACCCTGCTTACTTAACCAAGCAGAACACAGAGCAGCTCAGTCAGGTAACCAGCTCCCTGCACTGTCCTTGAACCGAGGAGCAGCAGGGTCGCTGTCACGTGAGTCCTGCTAGCAGCGAGCAGCTTCCTTCCCTATGTCTGTGGGCCCTTTGGCTGAGACTGAGACAAGCAAGCTTGAGCTCTGATGTCTTACAAATTAGAATAGACTCAGATGGAACCCGAGCCGCTGTGGGCTCCCACAGCCCAGCTGTGGGCCTCGCCCTACCAGACCACAGACCCATCTTTCATAATTGCATTTGAACCTGGTACTTTTATCAGATAGCAGTGTCACGTCACAAGGTTTGTCTTGCTCCTGTCATCCGGTTAACCCATTGCCTGCTTGTTTTTTTTTTGTTTTTCTGCAGTTCAACTTCCATTGTGAGTGGTGGAGAAGAGCTTTCGGACCCGCCCTGCCAGCTCTGTAATATACTTGTATAACAGAAATACCTTCTATACAAACCTTCTTTTCTACTTCTAGATAGAAATGTCTACTTTCTCAGCAGTTCTGTGAATTGAACTACGCAGCGTGACGAGATGCGCGTGCCTGGCTGGTTTGGGAATGCACTAGAAGGATTTCACAGCAGTGCTGGAAAGAGACAGGGAATGGCAGGGACAACTCTTAGATTTTTTTTTATGCATTGGGCAGAGCCTTGGGCTGCGGTGCGTATTCCAGTGAGTGGAGACATTCCTGCTGGGCATCTTGGCTTCCGCAGCGAAGAAAACCCCTGTGCTAGGCAGTGCTTTAGTTTTTCTATTGAGAATCATATCCATGATCTTACACTCGGCTCCCCTTACTGCCTGAGGGAGGGCTGCTGTCTGTCTGTCTGACTAAGCCTTTGCCTAAGCTCCATCATGGTTCCTGGCAGGCTCACCCGACGGCCAGTGATGGGCAGCGTGTCTCCGCGCTGAGAGGACATTCTCAGAGCCTCTCCTCACCCTGGGTGTACCCTGAAGGTCAGAGGTCAGATATGCATGCTTTAGCAGCTGGAGGCAGCTCTAGGTGGAGTCAGGCTGGGCTGTGGGTCTGCCTGGTTGGCTAGTCTCTAGCCGCCTGTCTGACCGAGGTGCCGTGTGGGCGTGGGCAGGCGAGCTCTTGTGCACCTCCATGTCACACCCTGGGCCTGAAAGTGGAGTCTCACAGATGATGCAGTTGTGTAAAATAACAGCTCTCTCTCTCTCTCAGAAAGCGGAGATGGGATGGCACAGTTGTCAGTAGCGGCACCACGATGTTCACAATGGGAAATTATATCACACGGTAGCAGAGATAGGCATTTTTATGTGTTCCTTATATTTTACCTCAAATTGTAGATATAGGGTAATAAATAAAATCCATCCATGCCTTTCACATGCAAATTCATTCCTTCTGAGCTGTCTTCCTGAGTGTCTGGGGAAGTAGGAGACAGAGAGCTGGCTGGGGTGTTCGCCTCAGTCCCTCTGGAGTGGGTGCTGTTGTCCTGGTGTTTTTGAAGAAGTCACTGGTTGGTCCCAGAGCTGGGCCAGGCCCTACACCGCTACTGTCTACGCTTTACCTGTGTCACAGACAGAGCTCTGAGGCAAAGCTGTACAGCGGGGAGTCCGGGGGTCAGACATGACTTAGTCCCTGCACCTAGAAGCCATCTGTCGCCCAGAAGATGGTGCCCCCACTCGGGCTGCAGCTACGCAAGGGTTAGGGGACGGCAAGTGTGCCGGCTCCCTGCCCCCAGCCCCCAGCCTCAGTGTTCGCTGCACCTGCCTCACTCGGGGGTGACCACCCGCGGCAGCGTGTCGGCGATCGTGGTGAGGAGGCATCTGGGGGCTCCCGCCAGGAGGGAGAGCCCTGCTCCTTCTCAGACCCTTCACACCGTGCTCTGACGTAGGCGGTAGCAGCGGCTCTAGTGGACAGCACTCGTCACAGTGTAGAAGGTGCTGCTCCCCGGATGCTTCACCTTGACAAGTAGGAGGCTCCCTGCGCTGAGCCCTGAAGCTTAGAACACAGGCCAGGTGCCAAAAGTGGAGCTCTTGGTGGTGGTAGCAAATTTTCAAACAAGAACTTTGGAGACCCAGGTAGAGAAGGGTTCTGTGTGAGCAGCAGTTGAACATGGGTCAGTGGGTCCTGTGAGATGGGCGAGTGTCATTCCAAATCATCTAAAGCGGGAGGTGGGGATGGGGGGCTGCTTTCAGGGCCACACCCCTTTAGCACCCGCCTTCTTCCCAGCAGACCCCTCCTCAGCATCTGCCATCTTCCAGTGCACCAAGGCTGATGTCGTACTCACCATACCGGCCTTTGGAGACATTACCATGTCGTAGCACACAGGAGACCTGTCCCTGGACCACACACTGCTTGTTTACAAGTAGGTGGCATGACAGCGCCTCAGCCCGGGAGGCTGGTAGATGAGCACTGTGGAGCTGAGGAGCGAGAGAGAGGGTCCTGGTCACCAATCATGACTGACGCTGAGCTGGATTAGTAGAGTGCTCGCGTAGATGCGGGGAAGCCTAAGTTCTATCCCAGTACTGCATACACCAGGAGGGGAGGTGCAGGCAGGAGCGTCAGGCCTTTCTCTGCTACAAAGTAGCTGCAAGGCCAGCCTGGGTTAGACTTGGTCTCGTTTAAATAAATCCTAGTGGGATGCACTGTCCTGTTAGAACGCGGAGGCTGATACAGGGGGCTGATCTCTGGTTGCCCGGCTGCCTTGCTCTAGCCCGGAGCTCTCACCTAGTGGGTGGCCCCCACCCGCCCCACCTAAGCTTGTGTCCTGTGGTCTGGGTTTGAGGAAGGCCGAGTGCGGGAAGCTTGGCTGACACAATGCCCGATTTGTAAAGTGTTTCCTGCCACAGAGGGAACGAAAATAAGCCTTGTATTTTTAACCTGTGCACCATGTCCAGGCAGCTCCCTGCAAGATTACTGCAGGCCAGCTGATGGTCCCTGACTGCTTCAAATAATGTCATTTAAAGGGCTTGATGGACACAGGAGACCAAGGCCCATCTGTGCCTCTGAAACAAAAAACTCAGCAGGTGTTCAAAGTTTCAAGTTGAAAGTCAAGGGCTCAAGCCTGTGGGGAGACCATGGCAGAAGAATCAGGAGTTCAAGGCTAGTTGGCTGCAGGAGACCCTCTCAAAAAGCCAGTGATAAGGGGCTGGAGAGATGGCTCACACGTTAAGAGTGCAGATTGCGCCAGGCAGTGGTGGCGCACACCTTTAATCCCAGCACTCGGGAGGCAGAGGCAGGCGGATCTCTGTGAGCTCAAGACCAGCCTGGTCTACAGAGTGAGTTCCAGGACAGCCCCCAAAGCCACAGAGAAACCCTGTCTCAACTCCCCCACCCCAGAAAAAAAAAAAAAGAGTGCTGATTGCTCTTCCAGAAGACGTGGATTCAATTCCCAGCACCCATGGCAAAACACCAAAGCAGATAAAATATAAACAGTGGTAAGATTCTTTGAACTAGGTGGAGAGGCCTGTGAGTCCAGACCTCTGAGAGGCAGGGGCCCATAGCCAGGGCTGCAGTGTGTTGGAATCTTGTTCCTTGGTGACTTTCCCATGAGGAGAAAGTCTAGTGGGCCCTTGTCTGCAGTGTGAGATGGCATGCCCCATTCCTGATCCACCTTGTGGGTCGCATTGTGTCGTCCACTCCGTCCTGCAGGGATCGTCCCTCTCCTTCCCCTGGGGACAGCAGTCTCGCCTCTGCAGGTGGCCAGCAGCACTCTCCTGGCTAGGAAGAGGGAATTCAGACTGCCCTGGGGCTTTTGCCTTGGGTGAGCTTGCTCCTGGAGACAGGGACTTGGGGAGAGGCTTCTGTGTGGGGTACAGAGCTTCAACCAACACGAGAACAGACCTAGCCACAGCTTCCCAGTTCGTTTGTCGTTCATTTAATGTGTATGGGTGTTGTGTACGTATGTGGACGTCTGCACTGTGTGAAGCTGGTGCCCACCAAAGCCAAGGAAGGCATTTAATCCTGTGGGACTAGAGTGTTCTGGGACTTGAACCCTGGTCCCTTAGAAAAGCAGGCAGTGCCCTTAACCATGGAGCCATCTCTCCAGCCCCTTTCACCTGACAGGCAAGGCTCACTTCCGGCCTGGGACCAGGATACCAGGTGGGCCAACACACATGCTCTTCTTGGCTAGTTTAAAACTCAGGGCAGTGGTGGCGCAGGCCTTTAATCCCAGCACTCCGAGAAACAGATGCCGGCAGATCTGAGTATCTACAAAGTGAGTTCTAGGACAGCTAGGGCTGTTATACAGAAAAACCCTGTATCGAAATACCCCTGCCCCCAACTCAGGGCTGACTATGGGTTCAGTGCCCAGGACCCATGTGGTGAAAGGAGAGACCCCCCCCAGTTTTCCTCTGACCCCCATATTGAATATGTATGCTTCCACCCACCCAAATACACATAGAAAAGGCCCGCTGGCTGGAGATGGGGCTCAGAAGACTTGGTAAGCATGCACAAAGCTGTGGGGTCCATCCCACAGAAACCAGGCATGACAAGACCTTGTCTTTCAAAATGTTACCATCCTGGAGCACATGACCGGCCCCTTCTGGTGACCATGGGAGAACAGATCTTGTCAGAAGCTCATGGGGTGACAGGGAGGCAGCAGCAGGGTGGCCCAGCACTCACTTTTACAAACAGTGGAGGGCGGGACATGACTCAGTTGGAGTACCTGCCTAGCATGCACAAAGCCCCAGGTTCTCCCATGAACCAAGCTATCCCAGCGCTCAGGTGGTGCATGCAGGAGAAGCATCCTCGGGCCAGCCTGGGATACACGAAATCCAGTCACAGAACCATCTATCAGCACCATTTTATATGTAATGTCTAGGAAGATAAGACCCAGGGAATCTGACTGACTTTACCCAGGGTACACAGTGTAGGTAGAACCAATTAATAAGTCTGTATCACAATGGGGGGGGTGGCAACCCACGTCTTTAAGCCTAGCACTCGGATCTCTGAGTTTGAGGGCAGCCATGGCTACACAGAAACCCTATCTCAGAATAATGACCGCCCTGACTCCTGGGCCTGAGCGCTAACTCCACCACACCCGAATTCCGGCCAACTCTAACACCGCCCGTGCTTGCTAAAGACTGGCAGTTGCAGCTCACTGCAAAGTGGGCAAAATGGCCAAGCTGTTTCATAGAAGAGGGAACTGGCTAGGGAGCTTGAGTAAAACTGCCAAGGGACTTAGCAGGAGCCGAATCCAAGCTCCAGGTAGCCTGTGAGTGGAGCTGCGGGGCACAGTGCCCATAGCCTGGGTCTATTGGAACCCAGAGAACAGAACCCTGGAGGGGGCGTGTCCTGACCCGCAGGACACTCATCGTGGGTCTGGTGGACACCTAGAGAAAAGATGGGGGGCAGGGGATACAAAGACAGACGCCAAGACAGGAGTCTGATCAAGGCGACAACTTTATTCATCCCAAAGGGATTTATATAGGGGAAGGGAGGAGGGGAAGGAATGGGGGATGTGCTGTAGCTGCGATGAACCTGGCGGAGAGGAAGGTCAGTGGGATGGGTAGGGCATCCTGTGTCCTCTGGTAACCTAACTGCAGACTCTAACTTTATCTTTCACACTCCACCTTCTATTAAGCCTACGCCCTAGATAAGCTGCAGGTCTGTTTCTGGAAGTTGGCAGGTAGCAGGGTGATCCGGAGTCACCTACTTTCTATGAGGGTCTTTTCTTATGAGTACGTGAGGCAGCTGTACCTGGTTGGTGGCCAGAGGTCCCTGGCAGGGCCAGGGAGAAGGGAGTCCCCAGTGTTGGAGCTGAGGCCCCCCCACCAGCAGAACCCATCTCTTCCCCCATGTTGCTAAGAGTCTCCAAGTAGGCAAAGAGCTACAAGACAGCATTTCCGTGAGCCAGAGGCCCAGCCGTGAAACTGTCCACCTCCCCCAGGGTCCCGGGAAAACTTACGGTCACTGGTCAGCATTTCCGTGAGCCAGAGGCCCAGCCGTGAAACTGTCCACCTCCCCCAGGGTCCCGGGAAAACTTACGGTCACTGGTCACTCAGCAAGAAGCAGCAGGAGGCTGGGTGATAGCCACACACACCTTTAATCCCAGCACTCAGGAGGCTGAGGCAGGCAGACCTCTGAGAGCTGCAGGCCAGCCTGGTCTACAGAGCGAGTTCCAGGACATCCAGAGCTACACGGGAACAAAAAAGCAGCAGGACAGGTTTAGGTTAAACATGCCAAGAACTAGCCGTGGAAGGCAGGTTTGTTTCAGTGGGGGAAGCCCCACATTCCTTCAGTTGGAAGGTCCCTAAGGTCACCTCCCTGTGTCATCCCCGACAGCAGCAAGTCTCTGCCTAGACTTGGGGATTTCCTGCTTCAGGAAATGGCCAGCCTGGCCTCTGGCCTAGGGGGAAACCAAGTGGCTGAGGGAGGGG